TAAGCTTCATCTGTATGTACAGTAGAATCCGTTTATTATGACTCCGCCTATATTGACCAACCGCCTATTATGACGTTATTACACAACGAACTTTGGTTTTCATATAAAATTCATTGTAACAATGTCGGATATAATGACTTCGCTTACAGTGACATGTCGCTTATTATGACCCATTTTTAATCAATTTTGTCCGTTTATAGTGACCGACATGGTTCTTTACACCTACGGTAATGTTCGTTGATTCAAATTAAACATCAAGCATTGTTTTTAGTGATATGCTATGTAAAAAAATGTCATCTAAACGTCGTAAAGCATTTACGACTGAGGAAAAAGGTGCAAACGTCCGCTTAGTATGACGTGTTTGTCGATTCCCTTCGAAGTCATAATAAACGGATTGTACTGTATATATGTATGTGTACAATATATACATGTATGTACATATACATATTTCATTTACTAGCTATAAGAGAAAGAGAGAAAGAAAATGTGCGCGTGCACTGCTGTCTCTTGCTTATATCCCCCATTCAACTCCCGTTCGCCTCGCCCGATCACACTTTTGGTAACGCGTAATGCATTCGCCAGTTTACCCCCCAAGTCAAGCGTGCGTAAAGAAGTTTGACTTCACTAACCTGAATAAAAGGTAGTACAATATCTTATTGTTATGATAACCTTACTTTAGGATTTTAAAGTATCTTTTTTTTATCCGGTTTCCCATATGCTAACTTTCAGACTACTGAGGCGTTATACACAAACATACCTACCTGCAAGAAGTCGGCCCGTCCGTCGGTCAACGATTCATAAAAAACTTCAGCACCGAAACCTTCATTATAGTTTGACAAAATTTTATTATTTTTTCATTGATCTCAACACGTTTGATGATAAGTCTCAAATAATGTGAAACTATGCTCCTATGACTTAACTCTGGGAGCATTCAAAATTGTCTGTTATTTACTTATTGATTTACGAGAATTTTCTCAATAATTTACTTATTTTGGGGGAAACGTCCCTATTTCCCTGGAATTATTCTCGTTAATTTTGGGAACTTTGGGAATGTTTTTAGTAAATTTTCAAATCCTAGCAACGACACATCACCTACACGAGTCTCTGATAATCCCTTGCATTTCCTATATTAATGAAAATTAACTTTCCATCCTTGATTTTGGAGTTTAATTTCAATAAGACATGTATCCGATTGGAATGAATAAAAAATATTTTAAGAGTTTAATTTTATTAAGTGATTTTTAGCTTGACTTAAAACTGTGCACACTGTTTTACACTATGTATTCTGTGTGTCACATATTACACATGTTCTGATTTTCTGATTTGACATAAATTATAATTTAAGTAAAGCAAAAATTCTAATTCATATTAGCGTAGCAGCCATATACCTTTAGGATAACTATTTTTTTATGTACATGGTTAATTGTTATTTATTTTTATAAAATGATTAAGTGTTAATCAAATCGGTGTTTAATTTTAGTTTAATGTGTTTAGGCAACTTCGTCGTCGGATCTACGCTTGTTCGATTACTTTACGTTTCTGAGATTCTTTACAGAGAACCACTTCTTGACCGGCTCGGTTGTGTTTTGTTTGCTACGGTTTTGTTTACGGAACAGTCCGTCAATTTCACGTTACCATAAGCGTCGAGAATTTTCCAATAGGCAACGCAACCAAAACCCAGCTCGCTGGCGTCTGCGAAAATATGAAGATCACGCTCAACGAAACCTGAGTGCCAGAATAACATCGTGGAATTTTTATATTTTCGAGTTTCTAAAGACTTTGCGACCAGGTCGCCCACAAGCTTCATAGCTCGGTTGGTAAGGGTTCATCCCAGTCGCCAAGCCTTTTGGAAAATTATACTGTCTTGGATGGTAAAATCGAGGATAGAAACCCCAGCGGGTCGTACAGACGCATAACGAGTAATAGTGCGACACGCTTGGTTAGAGCAGATTTTGGATCGAATTCTGGACGAGTGAGTCGAATGGTTCGGCAGCACTCAGTACAGAGTGGTATGTATGCGCTTGGTAAAAAATCTGTACCTAAAGTACTCAATACCTCTTATTGAAATACACGCACTCTATAAAGAATCGTTACAAAAAGAAAAACGATACGAGCAGGCGCCGATCCGGTGAAGAAGGTGCCTTAGAGTCAACGATATTAAACACCCTACACCAACACGAACAAAATCGCGGCCGAAACCTGTCCAAAAGGGACATTGGACGATCCACAGAGCTCCGTAAGATGATCGCGTAGTCAAAAACAATAGAAGGGAATTTTTGAATATTGAAAGTCACCTTTAAGTATACTGTATCACGTCTTAATTCAAACGCAAGCGTCAAAGAATAACTCTTTGTTCGAAATTCTCACTCTCGATATAGACCTTATTTCTTTGATTCTACACGCAATTCTGAATGCGCTGTTACCTAAACAGCAGGTACTGACCGCGAGGAAAAGAGACGGCTATTACCGACCACGTATTTGAATATCACAAATATTTTATATTTAATCAGTTTATAGTAACAAACATTGATGCATGGTACCTGGTCGAAAAAACGACACTTTACATACTATTATAAGTTTTTTTTTTGCATATTTTCACGGAGCTCTGCGGCATCTTGACTTTTCAAGGGTATTTAATATCGTTGCTTAGAGTCACATACAAATTCGCGAATCGCTAGCGACATCTGTCGAGTTCCAAAAAGATATTGTCCGAATGTATTCAAAATGAACCATAGCTCAATTATAATACCGATCATTATGGATAGAGCTTTCCTTAAAGTTTTGTAACTTTATCTTTCGTAAAGGAATAACTACAAATAATTTTAATCAGTTTTCATTTCTATCGTGCAACTAAAAGCAATAGTGCCTTTACTCCATGTAAATAAATTATAACAAATAAACACCTCAAATAATAATGTAAGGTCCATTTAGTCAAAATGCTAATGAACGTTTTCCATTGTTACTCAAAATGTAAAAGTTACTTTTTCAACAACAAAATGTTATGACGCCACTTTACTATAGAAATTATTCAAAAATACATCATCTTGCCTCATCTCTATGTAGGTACCCTAAAATTATGATCAATCTGAGAATCACAAATTCCTTAGTTATTAAGTAAGTCCAAGTTTTAATCATACATTGGTGTCGATTTTGGCATGATTCTTTAAACCTAAACTTAAATTTGACAACAGTGTGTCCCTGTCATTTTCTGTATAAAATATAAAGGAGTGACTAATGTAAGAGCCTGCGCTGCATTAAGCGGAAGCACTCATTATTTATTTCATGTAATTTCATAGAACAGCGCTGCGTGAGGCGGGTCTCCCGCGCAACGCTGTTCTATGAAATGTCATAAAAACTGCACACGGAGCGAACGCCGCTCCGGGTCCCGCTTAACGCAGCGCATGCTCTTAAATTTAGTTTTAAGTTCAGAGAATCATGCCAGAATCGGCACCATTGTGACATTTTGTCAAAACCAGACTTTATTCCTGTGGGAATATGATAAATTTTGCTTAATTTATCACTATTTCTTTGTTTTTCACTGTCCACCTTCTAAGATTGAATGATGGCAGCAATAATAAAATTAAATTAAGCAAAACATGTGTTTTAGTTTTTGATTTTGTTTTCATATATTAATGGTACTACTTAGACAATGTTTGTCATGATAATGAGAACTTTGTATCTTCTTATTTTAATGATGAGACGCGAATCGAGAATTTCAGTAGATTGTATTAAGTTTTTTTCTATGCAAAATATTTACCACATATATTGAATTGAAGTATTCATTTCATTCAAAAGTTATTACTTTTATGTATTTTTGTAATAATATAACAGTGGGAATAAACAAAGGGGAAACGCTAAATATTTTTTTCCTATAGTTAATATTTTTTCATGAGATTGCATTTTAAACTGAAATTCTTATATTCATTTTTACACTTCAGCCTATTTACTAAGAAGCGTTCATTGAATTATTATTTCCATATTACAACCATTACCGTACCTACCATAAAAACTGTTTTATGACTACTCAATAAGGTAGATTTTTATTCTTCCAAGGAAATAATACCACAAATATAAGTAAAATTAACAATTTTCTTTTCTTAGCCTAAGTTATGGCCTTTGTCATGAATTTGAGAAATAAATCTTTACTTAGAACTCTGGGGGCTAACCGTTACTCTCATGAAACTCTACTGTAGCTTCTTTAGTTTAATTTAAACTATTATATTATTGTTTAGATTTAAATTTTGATTTTCCTCATAGTGCTCTTCAAACTTTTATTGACGTTTGTGAAGAAGTGAGGAAACATTTTGTTCACCGCGCCGTGACTTGATCTAACTTCACAGCACGCTATTAAACTTGAATCGCACATACTTGTATCGTATATTCTTCATTTGCGTCTCACTAACATGGAACTGTGGAATTCTTAACTTTGTTTTGTTTATTTGACATAGTACTGTTATGATTTGTATAATTAGCCAAAAATATGTAGTAGTTATTATAAGAATTGCGTGCTAGTGAGTTTATTTAGCTACAGCGAATCAGACATGTATAGCTAGATATTATTGAAATATAAAATTTGTTATATTAACATTTATTGTGGTTTTATTTGGTAAACTGCCTTTTTATTGAAAAGAAACAAAGACTTATTAACATGCTTTGTTAGGTCGACCTGTATATAACCAACTATTTTTTTTTCTCTTTATTTTGGCAGCAACTATGTAATGGAATCTAAGGTCCGTATTACAGAATGACAACTAAGTGTCGATCTTTACTTGAGTACAGTTAGAAAGGGATATCGCTATGTGCTAAATATACATCCCTTTCTAACTATGCTCAAGACTAGATCAATCACTGAGAATCTTTCTATAATACAGGCCTAAGAATCTGAATGACACGCACTTCTAATTCTTGTATCATCATGAAACTTGGCAATTATCTATATTAGATGACAATACAATATTATGGTACTATATTATGGTCTGATGATGGGCCTGGATGGTGGCTGATGGAATTTTGGACTGCCTACTAGTAAACCTATCTAGTTTGGGCTCATTAGATTCGTCTCAACATATTCTAATATTTTTTCCTGATGATGAGGACCTGACGATGGACTGGAAGGTGGCTAATGCACCCTGGGCTGCCTACTAGTAAACAAATCGAGTTTGGGCTCATCAGATTTGTCTTAACATAATAAAACTTGGCAATTATATGTAGATAAGATGAAATATTTTTGGCTTTTTAGTGCAGTGCAGTTTTTTTGCATAGATTTATTTTTGTTGAAACTTAGATGATGATCTATGATGTCTAGATGTTTGCGAGATATAGTCTGTGCTGAAAGAGAATGAGATTTAGATTGGAGGGCGCTGTGGTGCTTTTCTACCGTATTTGTAAGGTTTTACCCCTTTTAGACATGATTAAATACAAAAAAACCGCAAGAAATCACAACAACAAACAAATTCGTATCAATACAAAACTTTGACGTTTTACAGATTGCTGGGTTTGATTGCCATATAGAATTTTTAATGTTAGTTCCGTTTTCGCCACACCCATTTTCTTTCCGCATAGATTCTACTAATCTTTGTAACAAACGAACTTCTAAATTATATATGCTCTTTCTTATGATAGAGCTTTGTTAAAGTGACAATTCTGCCAAGTCATCAACGTTATTTTTCCAAACGTGCTTCATTTTGACAGAGTATTTAGAAACAAGATTTATTAGAACCTATATTTTAGAGAAATAAATACTTTTAAATATAATTTATCAATGAGTGACACTGTGGTGAGTGTGAACATTAATATACCTACTAACTAACTCTATGAAAAGGAATGCGTCAGGTTTTGGAGGATACTCTTAAACAAGCCCTGTAGGTACATACTCGTATTACAGTTTCATAATAAATCATAATCAGTCGATGGACGTCCACTGCTGGACATAGGCCTCTAGGAATTTCATAACACAATGGTCATCAGCTTTTCAAATAAGCAGGCGCTATAATAGCTCATAAGTAAGTAATAAAACTCATAACATGAATAAGAATCAATTCGGAATTCCAAGCTATGAATGAATATAGCAATTTGTTATCAACTTTCAAGTTTAATGCTTCACGTGGTGTGAATTATATTTGTGAATTTGGGATAGGTACAGTATCAAACTCCTAATATTAGGTTATCCGTTCCGTATCCAAATGTTTACAATAGAACTGTATTGCTAACTGTTCGTAGTCTATAACGACAATGTTTATAAAATGTATGGGAGGATTTACTTCAGTATAGTGGTATGAAACTCGCCATGGAGATGAATATTATGTTATACTTAAGAAAACTCGCACATCGGTGCATCATTGATGCTCAGCCTAGGAAATTACGCTGATTAAAAGATTGTTCATACTGTAACAATTGTGTTTGCCTATTAGTTATTTGTTTCACTTAAACTGTTAACTTTCAGAGTTCAAGAACTAAAACATTGACTGAAAGTGATGGGTCTGAGGCCAGTGAAGAACCCATTGTAAGGATTCATAGCTATTTTATTTCTTAATTTTTCTTCTGATTTCATTGAACAAATCCACGTCATAATTATCAGCACAAAATAGACATAAAAGAAGGTAATCTCATGTACCTATCTACTTCACTTTGCTTAGACACAATAAACTCTCACGTTAGTGGCACTCGTATATAAGTGTATGTTTGTTTGATTTAATGTTGAGAATGAAACAGAAAGGACGGAATTATAAATTTCATTTATACTCAACAGAAGGTGCGCTCGAGCAAGAAAGTTCGAATTCGATTTTATTTCATTTCTATTTTGTGTTACTATCAATCAGGGGGGGGGGGCATATCCCCTGTGAGCCCTCTCAGGACCACGCTTGTATCCACATACTCTTAATACAGATATCAGACCGTTGGAGCAACAACATCACCTACCGGCAACTTGTGATATCATCATGCATCGGTATACTCCAACTGTGGTGGCACCCATATGTGCACGACCTCAGCAAGCTGATACCCTTCATATTCCTCTACAATGTATTCAGCATATTCATCGGCTACCCGATGTTCTACCTCGAACTCGCGCTGGGCGTGGTCACCAAAAAGGGAGTGCTGAGATGTTGGGACTTAGCCCCTATGGCTAGAGGTAAATGGAGTTAACTTATGTTTAATTTTATATATTTAAATTCCTTTCTTTATTAGTTTTTTTATTGATAACGGTTTCTGCTCCTAATTTTTACGTGGTTTTGAAAATCTCCATACCTTTATCACACCGAGAAGAAGATTCCATGCCATGGGTCCATGCATCGAAAAAAATATGGATTGAACTGCTGACCTGGAGATGATTATTCCAGCACAGCATAAAGAAACACCAACCAATGAACTTACCAGATCAGTACTTAAATGGTGCGTAAAAGTCGTCCGAAATTCTAAATATTTGTATCTGGTCACCAGGAATAGGTTTCGCCATGATACTGTGCAGTGTGTTGACCGCGCTGGCGCTTGGCGCTGTAGCCGCCTGGTGTCTGGCACTGTTTGTTCATTCGTTCCACTCGTTCTTGCCGTGGCTACACTGCGCTGCCTCTGCCATGCCTGCCTGCGCTGCCAGACACCGGCCTCTACCGCTGGGGAGTGAAACGCCAGCACAGTCGTTCTTTTTGTAAGTCCTTTATCATAATACGGCTATGATCCATCTTGCAGTCACGGAGCACTTTCAGAATATAAAAAAAAACACGGATCTGCGCGGTGTGTGGCGCTATTCGTTCCTCCTGTTCTTGTCGTGGCCGCACTGCGCCAGACGCAATTTCTGCCAATCTATCGGCTTCGATAAATAAGTGCACTATTACTCTGTCCTTTTTTCATCATCACTAGCCTATTATTTTCCCAGCCCTAGTCCTGGGGCACAGTCCTATGAACGGAATAGGGAGAACGGACCAGATCCAAAGTGCGGATTGAAAGATGCTTTAGACTGTAGATTCAGCTGGGATCAACGGCATTACATGCCTTCCGAAGCATTGAAGAGCTCGAGATAATAATGTTTTGGTCATCCATACTTTGACTGGTAATTGCGGAAGTTGCTTTACTTCTACGGTTACAGACTGAACACGGTAGCCATCAAGCTCCTTAATTAACGAAAGGCGTTATTACGTTCTTTGAAAATGATAACGACCATGTCGCTGCAATGGTATCAACCACATTTTTCAGTAACTTCGTGTTAAACTTGAAGCGCGATGGTTTGGAGGGAGGACTGGGTAATGTAGTGTGGGAGTTGACGGTCTACTTCGTTATATGCTGGCTTCTCATCTACTTCATTGCCGTCAAGCGGATCTACAGCTATTCCAAGGTAAAACCTACTGTTATTGGTATTACTATAGGATATACATAAAATTGTCAGGTACCTACTCAGTTATGAAACTTTCTGCCAAAGAGGTTTTCAGAGGCCCAAACACGATTTTTTGACAGCTACGTAAAGTTTCGTAATCATCTAATTTTCTATGGAAAAAGCTAGTGAAGCTAAACTGAATAAATGAATAGGTATTGAATTGAAGTGAATTAGGTTGTTTAACGTCCGATAGGGGCGCTGCTTAGTTTTCTAAAAAACTTTGACGATGCGATACGTTACGGAGCTGACAAAAACTCGTGCTTGGGCCTTAGAACACTAAAGATGTCTAAACATGCAGATTTTGCTCTCATAAATGCAGTGAATAAAACCACAGTTACGTAAGAGGAACTATCTTTACATGATGAGTTCTGGACCAGACGATAAATATTATCGCGGAACTAAAGAGATTTTGCGTGGACAGTTATAAAAATTCCAAAGGTCCTTGTTCTTTTTTCTGCAAACCTTGGAACTGTGATTCTGGAAAAAGGTATTACGATTGTTAAAGCTGGTGTTGTTCAAAGACGTGATGGCTTACTTCGTCCTCGTGTGCTTCGCTCTGGGTGCCGCTCGGCTCAACGGAGCTACAGCCATGTTCCGGCTCTGCGATTGGAGCGTGCTCGCTAATAACATGGAGGTAATGTTTTTTTCTTTTTTTTAGTTTACAGGATTACTGGCTACTCAGATTTTTTGGGTTGATTTTTTCGCGAAAGCAACGGTTAACCCTCTTATTACATCCGTCCTTGATAAAAAACCGGCCAACTGCGAGTTGGACTCGCGCACCGAGGGTTCCGTACAAACCTGTAGGTATATTTTAATAATTATTAAAAAATATTTTTTATTATATGATGTAACTAAAAATTTACGGGTTTCGCAATTTTTCCTTTATCTGTACTATAAGACGTTACTTCAAATCAAATTACAAGATTCTAAGTTCACGGGAAGTACCCTGTAGGTTTTGATACCCGTGCGAGTTTCAAAAATTTGCGGCATAAACGGCTGTATCTTTTGATTCCTTTGGCTTATAAGTTTGATTTTTTCACAGCTCCAAGGGACAGTACACCTGAGTATTAGATATGAATTTCAATTAGATACCTCCACACGTTCCTGAAAAATACGGTCTTGACAGACGGGCGGACGGACAACAAAGTGGGTTTCCTTTTTTCCTTTCCTAAAATAGTGGTCTTTTTTAAGGAAATGATTCAGTTTACTTAGTTTTCAGAAAACAAAAAATATCTGGCTTAAAGTAGTACAGATAGTACATTAATAGACTTCTAAATATGGCATGGTCAGCGAGTGCCGTAGAGAAACTGGGTGTCGCTTAATCCGCCGTTGGGTATGAATACGGGATAATGTTGGATTCGTCTATTTTCCTGCTATCCATCACCCTCTAATAGCCAACCAACAGGACTGTCTTAATGGCTGGCCTAGCAGAGCCCTACCTACCCACTAAAATCTCTGTGATATGTACCCTCCTTCCCGGCAGTGGCGGTATGGGTTCCATATGTGGGTACCACCGTCACTTGGGTAAAGTAGTGCCAGCTAGTTCCAGTGTAGTCCAAATATAGTCATATAGGGAGGAGCTCGATGAAGTGGGGGACTAGCGCGTTCGGCCTGCGATTGCGAAAGTTAAGCAGCTTTCATAAAGGTTGGCCTTTGGATGGCTGACCAAAAATTTATTATCTCGAGTTCCTTCGTGCATCTGCAGTCGTTAGCCCTCACCAATCCGCACTGAGCCTCGGCCCAATCTCCCTATTTTATTCAAAGGGAAGGCCTGCGCCCCAGCAGTGGGGACAATGATAGACTGATGATGATGATATTTGTATTTACTTGTAGATATGGCGTGACGCAGTAGAATACTCGCTAGTAGAAATGTCGGTGTCGCAAGGCGCGCTGATAATGCTCGGAGCATACTGTCCCAAAGAGCGGCACAGGTTGAGAGTGACTGCGATGTTGGCCTTCGTTGCTTCTAAGACCAGCTGCATGATCAGCGCGTTTGTATTGGGAGCCACTCATGGCGCGTTGCAATACGATTACGATGCCAATAGTACTGGTACTTGGAAAGGTAGGTAATATTTTTCGTATGCCCATCACTTATCACTGTAACCACAAAAGACAAAAATATTTTCCCTGAATTTTGGTAAGTTTTGACTGTCTAATTATTTAGAAGTTTTGTTCCCACCACAGGGTAAATGAGGTATATTAGAAACGAACCTATCTGTTTCTAGGTATGTTGAGAATGATGAATAAAGGTCAAACCTAAAGTTTTGAAATTTTTAGGTATCACTTTAAAGACAACAGGATAAGCATGCCGTAACCTCCATAACTTATTTTTGACCGTCTATTTATTTAAAAACTTTGCGCCTACTTTTGATTGAGTAAGGTGGAAACTTTAGCGGTGCGATACAATTACGAAGCAGTCGAGTTTAGTGCTCGGGCCTCTGTACACTTTGTGTGACAATAAGGCATGCTGGTGATATTGCACTCCCGCTTCCAGCTGAATACTAGTTGGATACTTAAGTACCTCTGCCCAAGCGCATTATGCAGCCTTTTCCCGAAAAGATACATCAAAAGGCTGATGAGAACGATGAGTCGTAAGCATCCACCAATTCGCACAGTGCCAGCGTCGTGAATCATAGCCCGATCTCCCTATTCCATCCATATTGAAGGCCTGCACCTTAGCAGTGGGCACAATCATAGTTTGACGATGATGATGATTTCCATTAGGTGCGTCAGCATCGTTGGTGCTGTGGGAAGACTTCGTAGCTCGGGTGCCCGGCAGTCAGTTTTGGTCCGCGCTGCTGTTCTTCACCTTGTTTGTGGTGGCACTCTCATCTACGGTTAGTTCATTCATTTTATATTAACGACACACACGAAATGATACCGAAAGGAGGGCTCCTTTCTATATTCCGGGGACCTTTAAAACAGGCGTGAAGAAGCAACTTGGATGGCAAGGTGAGGATGGCCGGTGTGGCAAGTAAAACTACTGCACCAGCTATCTTCGCGTCTGGTCTCACCATCACTTAACATCAGGTGGAGTGTAGTAATTTGCTGGAACATATACCTTCATACATATATTATAAAGACTAGCAAACCCGGCGAACTCCGTTTCGCCACCAGATGGCTTCGTTTTATGTAACATTTCGTTTGGTGATTAAAAGAAGTTTTTTTTTTTTTAATTTTTCCTGAATTTTCTTTGCTATAAACCTCACGGAGCCCGAGACCTTTCCAACGAATGTAAAACCGTGGAAATCGGTTCGTGCGTTCTGGAGTTATAGCGTCAGGAAGGAAAACCCGACTTATTTTTATATAGTAGATAAACGCACACAACAAATATTATTCCCGTTTTTAGTCAATAACTAGGTAGCCAATTTGCTCGTTTTTTTACAAATCTTATTGAATATGCAATAGGTCCATACAGAGGCGGCCCGGAACTTTTAAGGGGCAGCAAAAAGTTTTGCAGCATGAAAGACTACCATTTGCAATTATGACGTCACAATTAAAGTATACACTATAACATTTTACTTTTTAGGCACTGTTGGTGCAAACTATAATGTCATCGCTGACCGGACGCTCGATGCGGAAGATCAGATGGGCTTTCCTGATACTCACGTGTGTTCTCTTCGGTATTATTGGGACAATGACACTGTGCTCGCAGGTTAACTGATTTTAAATTAATTTATGCGTATAAATCATACAATCTCGTCAAATTGTGAGTAAAAAGGTTTCTCCTAGGAAAAGGTGCTGTCGTAGACCGCTTCATCACTTGAAATTAGGCGGGAAATGGTCAAACTAGTGCATATATGATAAAGCCGTTGATCCTGGCTGCATCAGTAGTCGTCAGCACCCAGCGATCGGCTGGGCCCGTGTGGTGGGTCATGGACACATTCTTCGTAGATAGGCAAGTCCTGTGCACCAGCAGTGGGGTAATTAGTAGTCTAATAATAATAAAGACATACACTTTTTTATACATAACAATACTGCAGACATCCCACAGTAATGATGTTTATCTAATTCGTGTAGGTCAAATATACTTTGTTGCTTTTAGGCAATATTTGCTTGGCCGGTCATCGGATGGGTGACCAAAATTTACTATCGCGAGCTTTTCAAGGCTTCAGAAGGCACATAAAGCCGTTGGTTTCGACTGCATCTGTTTTCGTTAGCACCTACCAATCTGCACTGTGCCCTTGTGGTGGTTCACGGCCCAATATCCCTATTCCATCCATAGGCAAAAGCCGCTGATGATAATGATATTTAAGGAGCTCGATGGCGCAGGTGGTAAGTGCGTTCAGCTGTGATCGTTGAAGTTAAGCAACTTTCGCAGTGGTGGGTCATTGGATGGGTGACCAAAAATCTTCTATCCTCCTCCTCCTCCAGTTCCTCCGTGCTTCGGAAGACACGTAAAGCCGTTGGTCCGGGCTACACCTGCAGTCGTTAGCTAACCAATTGACCCGCCAATCCGCACTGGGCCCGTGTGGTGGGTCATGGTCCAATATCCCTATTCCATCCATAGGGAAGGCCTGTGCCCCAGCAGTGGGGACATTAAAAGGCTGATGATGATGAATGATATTTGTTCTCCAGGGTGGTCTTTACATACTAAACTTCCTGATGGAATGGCCAGTCGGTAGGCCGCGGGTTTTGGTCGCCGCAATGTGTGCGATAGTGGTGACGTACGTTTACGGGCAGTCTACGTTCTGCGAGGACGTTTTCTTCGCGGTGGGCGAGTACCCTGGGGTGTTCATGAGGGTCTGTTGGGCAGTGACACCTTGTTTCCTGGTGGTGAGTTCTGGCTCTTTTTTTAGTGCATCTGGAAGAGAATTCAAGTAATTTGCTTTACAAAGCTTGTGCGGTGTGCTACGATAGCGACCATTTAAAATATTTACGGCACATATTTAAATTATCATCAAAAGATTGTAATTCAGCCTCAAAAAATACAATGAGGATCATTAATAGGTCAGCAAATCAACCTGTATAATGATCTAACAAACTTTGTAATTAATATACTTTTTAAATCATCGAAATAGGTTCATTCGTTGCGATTGTATTTAACTAATTTTATGGTAGCCAATATTCACCAGCGGCCGAAACGTGTGACGTCACAGATCTCGATATCGTGGTTCACTCCGGTCAAACTTTAGTAGCGTTTCTACGCCCGCTCGCGCCCGAGCGCCAGAGCTCTGTGACGTCACAGCCACCATGCTGCCAGCCGAAAATTCTTTTAGTAATTTGGTCTTAACTTTGTCAATATTTGTCGTAGAACAAAAATTTAACCACTGTAAAAATATATTCTAAACTAGTGGCCCGCCCTCGCTTCGCTTCGGTGTAGAGCTGTAGTGTAGACTAAAATGACTCTTCATATAATTATAAAAAAAACCGAAAATGGTATATTTGCCTTTTCCAAACTTCTATTGACTTCAAGTCACTCAGTTGTTTTGCCTTCCACTAACATTTGAAAGGACATTGCTCGTTCCCCATACATTGAATGCCCTAGAACGCCCAGCAATGAGAAAATGCTAGTTGTGTTCGGAATCATTCATAAACTCTAATTAGGCATTTGTTGAGATACGGACAACTTGAGGAACCGTGGCCTACTACAGAATGTATTTGATTTTGAGGTTATAATTATTATACTTAATCGTAAAAGATGTACACTTTATATATTCTGAATAGATTTACTGTTTACCTCTATGTAAGCACTTAAATAATATGCATTAAATGAACATAAAATGAAATTAATAATAAAAATAATAAATGCTTATATTCATATTGATTAATGAGTGTTGTCAGTTGGCACCTACGATACCTATACCTTACCTGTAGTAATAATAGATTTCTTTTCAAATGAAATGTTCAGTCTTTCCATTTACCTGTTTATATATTTTACTATCGGTAATTAGGTATGTACCTGGTTATCATTATGATTTTCATAAAAATAAACAGATATTACATGGGATGGGAGTATAAACTATCTTTACATAATTTCAGAAATAATCTTTTTATAAATATAATACCAGTAATAAGTATTATTAACTAAGGTATCTCTATTTTTCTTTTGATAAATACCTATGGTCGCCTCTAATGCATTTGCACACAATGCACTCAATCTTGGCACAACTTTTTAACAGAATCACCCATTTAATAATAAAATATTAACGAAGCCAATAAACTATTTAAATAAATCGTTATTATAGACTGAAATCTTTTGAATCCAGTTATCAGATGATTTTTACCCGACTGCCAAAGAGGGAGGGTAATGTTTAGGGAGTGTATGTAAGTATGTATGTATGTCTGTTCCTTTGTGACCTCCTGTAGCCTAAACGGCTTGATGGATTTTGATGTATGAGGTATCGTTAGATTTGTCTTGATTACGGGAGTGTCATAGGATACATTTTATCCTAAAAGTCCCACGGGATAAAGACATAATAATATTTTTTCTAAATTTCCCTTTAAAAAAATATGTATGCGGTATCATTAGATTCATTTTTAGACTGTCTTAAGGTACTTAATAATTCCCGCGATATTAATTCCCTTACTGAAGTAACAAGACTACGGTATATACCGTCTTAAAATACTAACTAACTAAAAAGTGTGAAATAAAAAAGGTAAATTTAAAAAATCAAAAAACCCGACTGCTTAATTATACTTCAAATAAAAACTGAAAAGAAAAAAACAAGTCCAGTAGTCTATAATTCTGTTAATAAGGAACAAAGCTACTTTAACAGTCGGGACCCACTGTTGAAAAATATTATGTATTCTTGAATATCTAATGGGTCCCGACTGTTAAAGTAGCTTTGTTCCTTATTAACAGAATTATAGACTACTGGACTTGTTTTTTTCTTTTCAGTTTTTATTTGAAGTATAATTAAGCAGTCGGGTTTTTTGATTTTTTAAATTTTTAATGCTGTTTTTTCAATAAAAAGGAGTGCCAAGTTGGATGAATAGACTGCAGTATCTAGTAACAGAACTTTATTTTTTTAAACAGATTGTCCGTTTACTATGATTAATTGCTAATATGTTAAAAAAATAATAGAAAGATAATAGTGAAGGATATTCTTTTGGGCATGCTAGGGCCGATTTCGTCGATGTCCTTTATGGTATGGTATTAAAGTTCAAATTGACTTTTCTGTATTATTACGAATCGTTTGTATGGGAGTGTAGAAAAGTGCAGTTTTTGGACTTTTTCAGGATTTTTTTTTAATTTTTCTCTGCGTTTAAGAATTGTCGAAATCGGTTCAGCTGTTCTCGAGATTTGCGCTTAGCAACACATTCAGCGATTCATTTTTATATTATAGATTTTATTGCGCAGTTTTATCGCACGTACGGTTGTGTACTGCCTCGCATCAATATAATGGGGATGATTTTTTCCCCTTGTTGTCTTTAGTTTTCGATTGTCGAACTAGTGAATTTTTATTCTCATTTGTTCTACCGTCGAACTACAAAAAATCTTACTAGTTCAATCATCGAACTAATGCGAACAAGCGACCACTCTGGCCTTAATAGGGAATATGCATGTAACTAATCCAAATAATCCTCATGCTTTTAAAACTATTACTTTTAATTTGTCCCTCCGCCTTTATTTGTAAATAAAATTTCTTTGAGAGCAAGAAATTAATTATATAAAAGTGCGAAAAACTTTTAGGAAATTCAAATATGTATTTGAAACTCGACGACGGTGATTGTGCCGCAAAAATACATACCTAAAAACAAACCAACGTGATGTTCACAGGGTATACCAATGTCAACGGGATTATAGTGCGAGTGCGTAGTAAACGAGCCGCATTCCACCTAGATACAATAATATTTAATTAATTAATTTTACCGAAAATGTATTAAACATGAAGTGTATTTGATTGACGTAGGTTCCAATTTCCATCCGCAGTGAAGGTATGGAACCCAAAATGTTAGAATCTTGTAGGTCAAGATCTTGTTTGTGTTTTTATATGTATCGTGACTTCACATCCAAGCGTTCCGAAATAGCGCGCGTTTAAACTGCCCGTGCAAAGTGGCACAACACATTTTTTAGATACTTTTTTCGGTGTTGATTTTTTTATACTGTATAAAGCGGATGTAAACTACTGAATGGAAAAAGAATCATGCATATTGCCTATTGTCGTAACCGCCACTTTGGGCGAAAATGAATCAAAAATGCAGTTTGCAGTTTTTTTTACGCTCTAACGATCTGCCTATTTCAACTTTAAATAATATATTTTGATGTAAGAATAATAATAATAAATATTTCCAACACTCACACCAATTAGCCTAGCCCCAAAGTAAGCACTGTAAGGCTTGTGTTATGGGATACTAGGGTAACGGATAGAATACATATACTGTACATATATAAGTATATTTATATAGAAATACATATTAAACATCCATGACTGGTGTACAAATGCTCGTGTTCATCACACAAACATCTGCCCTCACCGGGATTCGAACCCGGGAGGGACCTCTCGAGTCGGCGACACCATGAAACCCGGCGTACAAATCACACGGCCACGGAGGTCATCAATATAGTCAAAAATGGTGTCTAAAAATATATCAGTTTATTTTTTTCTTTTTTGCTTCTTTTGTATAAAAAGTCCGTTTTGGCGTTTACGATACTTGAAGCCAGGGGGGTGAAAATCTTTTTTTTTCGCGATGTTACAACTAGGGTTGCAACGATATATCGGAATATCGATAATATCGAGACCAAAATATCGATATTTATATCGATATTTAAAATTCACTAATATCGATAATATCGATATCGGAAATTCCAAAATATCGATATTTCGTAGACTAAATTTAAACACAATAATATGAATTAATTTACCTGCTATGACTATCTAAATTGAATAATATCGAAATAACTATTGCTTTGAAATCGCAAGAGCTTATAGATGTATTAAAAAAAAGGTAAATTTAAAAAATCAAAAAACCCGACTGCTTAATTATACTTCAAATAAAAACTGAAAAGAAAAAAACAAGTCCAGTAGTCTATAATTCTGTTAATAAGGAACAAAGCTACTTTAACAGTCGGGACCCATTAGATATTCAAGAATACATAATATTTTTCAACAGTGGGTCCCGACTGTTAAAGTAGCTTTGTTCCTTATTAACAGAATTATAGACTACTGGACTTGTTTTTTTCTTTTCAGTTTTTATTTGAAGTATAATTAAGCAGTCGGGTTTTTTGATTTTTTAAATTTACCTTTTTTATTTCACACTTTTTAGTTAGTTAGTATTTTAAGACGGTATATACCGTAGTCTTGTTACTTCAGTAAGGGAATTAATATCGCGGGAATTATTAAGTACCTTAAGACAGTCTAAAAATGAATCTAATGATACCGCATACATATTTTTTTAAAGGGAAATTTAGAAAAAATATTATTATGTCTTTATCCCGTGGGACTTTTAGGATAAAATGTATCCTATGACACTCCCGTAATCAAGACAAATCTAACGATACCTCATACATCAAAATCCATCAAGCCGTTTAGGCTACAGGAGGTCACAAAGGAACAGACATACATACATACTTACATACACTCCCTAAACATTACCCTCCCTCTTTGGCAGTCGGGTAAAAATAATCTTGAACCCCAAGAAATATACTAAACTGGTGTAGATTCTGGCATGATTCTCTCAACCTAAAATTAAATTTGACAACAGTGTATCCTTGTCATTCTGTATAGAGAATGACAAGGATACACAAAGAGACTGATGTTAAATTTAGTTTTAAGTTTAGATAATCATGCCAGAATCGACACCAACGTATATAGGTATAATCGTATACCTAATGGTAACTCATGCACTTACATAAAATCCTCGCCTCTCTTTCTAGATAATTGTCAACTACTGATTAATTGAAATTAAATATCATTGTAATATAAAACACAAAATAAAATTAAGAATCTTATACAAATCGTAAATTTTTAAGCTCGCCAAGTCAAGAAAGTAAGATAGGTATAGTAATTTTTGAAGCTTTAGGCTTACCCTATTGTGAAGCCATGGGCACGCCCCTGATGTGTGGGAGACTAAGCAATTTGCGTATTTGATGTGCGCTAAAAAACCGACAAAGCTTGGAAAAGCACGAATGTAGTGAAAACTTAGCGAAGGCATTCGCAAATGTCGTCCCACATATGTGGGTTGGCGCATTCGTGCTAACAAATGTGAGTGATCTGATCAGGATAATAATTTTAATTTTTTGGTTTCCTATCGTGGCTGAAACACAAACCGTACGAGCCAAAAAAAATCCTGCTTGGCGCGATTTTATCAAGGGTGTTTAAAGAAAAAGCTGGCTCAATACATTTTGCGAGAAACTCGCCAATAAACATATGAATGTGTCACACTCACCCCGTATTCTAACGTTTATAAAAAAAAAAGAAAAAAATATCGATATATCGATAATATCGAGTTAAAATGGTCGATATATCGGATATCGATATTTTCCTGACTTCGATATAAATATCGATATAATATCGATATTTCAAAAGACTTTGCATCCCTAGTTACAACCCTCCTTCTTACAACCTGAGATCCTTTAAAAGAGGCGTGAAGAAGCAACATGCAGGCCGGCAAGGTGAGGATGGCCTGCTATTGCAGGTAGAACTGCCGTACCAGCTATTTTCATGTCTGGAATTCACGGTAACTTAACATCAGGTGGGATGGTCATTTGTCGGACCTATCTATAAAAAAATAAAAAAATGTACGATTTAGATGTGGATTTGCTAATGTAACCATTGTGCAGGGTATATTTCTGTCGGGAGCGAGCGCATTTCATACTCGCGAGGCGGTGGCCGGCTGGGCGTTGATAGCGCTGGCTCTGCTGCCCATGGCGATCATCATGATGTTCTACGCCATATTTAAGTGCAGAGTCAGGGTGAGTTCTGATATTAGATTAAATCAAAAAGGGAAGATACGGTACTCGTGTCTCAAAAGTGCACCGCTTAAATAAGATGCATGTACACAATTCGCTTTACCCACAATTTGACATGCAAACACACTGCATGTGCACTCAATATAACAATATTTCGGATATTTTGCGTTAAAATGATAAAAAATCCTTTCGGTCTATTTAAAAAGTGCACAAATAGTTCAAGAACTAGGTATAACAAATTCCACGGCATCACTTTAATCTCGTAAAATAATTGAAATGACTTTAAAAAAGACATATTACCCTATGAATATTATTCGCTTATATTCGCCATTTGATATCAAGAAAAGGGCAACAATACAACTAAGCGGTTCGTAGAGAGAGAAAAGAAAACGCAGTCAGTCGGCGAAGGCGACAATATTAGATTAAAACCCTTTTTGTTTTATTCTAAGGTTGAAGCGTATCGTTCTGTCCACAGTTTCTGCCTCGATTGCTTCATTGAATGTTTATTTACAGATGTGCGTGTGTTAAAGTTGCTTTTAGTCTCTGAGTATTGAAACCTATGGAAATGGCATACCTACGAAAAAAACTTGTATACCTAAAGTTATTGAGAAACAAAAATGCCGCCTTTTCATAGTGCTGCCACAAGGCTTTCCCATTGTATATCGATATATCTTTATAAATACAAGTAATTTTGTGACGATATTTCGATATTCTATAAAGTGATTTAAGACATTGATTTTTTTCTTATATTGGTACGATATCACACAATACATTAAAGTTGTAATTACGAAAGTTTGTGTGTGTTACTTCTTCTGCTAAACGGCTGGACAGATTTGAATAAATAGATCCTATTTTATTTACCACGCCGCGTGAACACAATTACACGCATGTGAAATCGTGGGAATCAGCAGCTAGTTAAAATAAACCAAATGAAAAATAACGCGACTGCTTAAAAAAAACATCTAAAAAGTAAAAAATTAGTTAGTAAGATTTTATTTTTAGAATAGGACGGAATGAGGTATAATTTTAAATGCAAAAAGGGGTACTTTTGGACGTCTCCTCATTACAAAACATTGGCCAACGGCATTAAAAATTATACTCCTATTCGAAAAAGAACAGTTATTTTTAATTTTTTGGTCCATTTTTTTTTAAACGGTTTTTGCTTTTTTTTGTATTTTAAGTGCTCTGAAATTTTTATATGTACTTGAAGTAATACTTACAAGCATTTTCATTTATTAACAAGGTTCAATTTACCTTAGTTGTTTTGATAGAAATTACGATAAATCGCCTCATTCATCCAGCGGGGCCCTCAGCGGTATTACGGTTGGAGCACTTAAAAAAGCTCACTATAATTATGGAATACCAATGTACCTAATGTAATGTATGTATGTATGTCAATTATTTGCGGAGGAAAGGTCTTACACCAGCGCTACATAACTTTGACAAGGTACTTATTACGCTAAAAATTGAATAGAAAAGCCAAGAAAAAGTTCACAATTCACAGTTTTTAAAATTATGCCTCCATAATACAGTATAAAAAAACCGGCCAAGTGCGAGTCGGACTCGCGCACCGAGGGTTCCGTACAAACTCAATTTAATACCTCTACGCGTTAACGCGTTCATGAGAAAAGAGGTAAGTAGTAACTTTAAAAGGATAATGTTAAAATTGGCCTAAGAACCAACACCAATTTGGCATTTATGATAATTCTTAGTATATTTTTTGCGATAATTATAAGTATTTAGATTGTGACGGACACTTCCAGTTAAGTAAGCTAAATTAAAAAGTTAAAAAATAATCTCAGACAATAAATACCATTTTATGTGTATAATCTATGGCAGCGCTGCCAACAAAACACTCTTTCTTCCTATTGCCGGCACTTCACTTGGCTATTCGTATTTGCTATTTTAAAACATTACATCAGTCTGTCCTTTTCATTCCTTATTAAGCATGACAAGGACAAACTGTTGGCCGGCATAAAACTCGTTACTCTGTGGTTGTGGTGCATGCAGTTTGCATTCGTAGTAGTCTGTGGCATTCGTGCATTCCAAAGAGTAGTATAATAAACCGGAAAGTGCATTCTCGTTTCGGATTATCTGTTGTGTGTGTTTATTTGCGATTGTTTTTCCTTTAATTTAACTATTTCGGCTATATAATATGCCATCGATGTTACCAAAGAGCAGAGCCCTTTTTACCTACCTTAAGTGCTAGTGAACCTGTGCCACAACATACTGAGAGGATCATACTGCCAAATTATTCAAGAATAACTGATACACATTCAGGGTGCGGCCAGAGTGCACTCAGATTCAGACTCAGATTCAGATTTCGAAAACAAGCGCGAGAAATAAACAGTGTAGTCGAAGGGTACGGCCAGATTGCACTCCTGATTCAGATTCAGATTCAGACTCAGAAAACAAAGCGCGAGAAAAAGCAAGCAACCTGCTTAGACTACACTGTTTATTTCTCGCGCTTGTTTTCGAAATCTGAATCTGAGTCTGAATCTGAGTGCACTCTGGCCGCACCCTCACGCTGCATATTTACACAATATACCTACATGTGATATACAAATAAGTACAATAAACAATATGATACAATTATGTAAAAAATAGTCAATAAATAAGAAGCAAAACTACAGTTTTTATTTTATTCATGAATCCCACCTATACAAGTTTTTCCTAATAGTTATTCTTTAAAATCGCACCGAATAAAATGAATTAGTTGTAATATTAATTCACTTCATACTGAGTTTATACTAAATTCATATGTTCCATTGAATATTAAACATAACCTCAAAAAAATTTAGTTTTCCTAATAATTTAAGTTCTCAGAAGTGTCCGTCAATAATCTTTGTTTTTACAGTCATTTACTTACGATTTTGAACCTAGAAAGTAATCTTTCATGATTGTTGGTTCTTAGGCTAACTATGTATGGACGCTGAACAATGTCCTTTCCAATAATATTTTATATTATAATTATGATGTTACTAAAAATTTTTTTCGCAATTTTTCCTTTATCTGTACTATAAAACGTTACTTCGTACCAAATTTCAAGATTTTAAGTTCACGGGAAGTACCTACCCTGTAGGTTTTGATTCCCGTGCGAGTTTCGAAAATTTGCTGCATAAACGGCTGTATCTTTTGATTGCTGTGGCTTAGAAGTTTGATTTTTTCACAGCTCCAAGGGACCAATAGACATGAGTATTAGATATCTATTTCAGTTTGATACCACGTGTTCCTGAGAAAAACGGTCTTGACAGACGGACGGACGGACGGACAACAAAGTGATCCTATAAGGGTTCCGTTTTTTCCTTATGAGGTACGGAACCCTAAAAAACACGAAAAAGTTGTTAAACCGCCATTTATCGTAATTTCTATCAAAACGGTTGAACCTTGTTAATAAATTCATGAGGTACATTGAACAAGCAAAGCATTTCCACGACTTTTATAAGTCTAGCTCGAGTGGCCCCGCTAGATAGAAATACTTTGTTGTCCCATGGGCTTATTTTACTAGGAGCACTGTATTTATACCACTGTGTTACGTTCCCGTCGCCTTACCAGACTAGGGTGGCTAATGTGGTATCGGGCACTTCATCAACTAATAGAAAGAATGTTTTCCCAAGCAACACTAATAATGAGTACCTATTTTTCTTTGTTTCAGAATATTGTCGGCAATGAAAAATAATAAACTTATCCTAAAAATAAAGATAATTTTACATCATATAGACTTTTATTTATCATACTCCCGAAGCCGGCAACACATTCAAGAAATTAGGTTTTACAGAATTATTATATTAAATCCGTAGGTACCCCAAGCACGAACTATCTAGTATCGCCATCTTATAAGTTTCTAGTGTTTCTATGGTAAGAGCCAGATTCATAAAAGTATCTAAGTACTACTTATGATGATGTCTATCTATACAAATACTTTCTTGCTAGTTGATCGTTTTTCATTTTGGATGCTTTTTCAAACAACACACCAGTCAAAAAAGTCTCAAGTTCCTTGGTTCCAGTTCTAAGCAAGCGCATTATGAGTGCATATCTTATATCAAGCTGTGCTTCGCCGTGCGTGAGGAGCCACTTACTGGGAAGAATGTCTACAAATAAGTATTTGGTGGTTATTAAACTACATATACCTAATTACTATCGGGAAAGACGAGTGCCGGTTCTGAGAAGCTACTAAAACTAGAATCTTCTTGCTTATACCATAGTGTACCTACATTCCTACATAGAGGTGGGTAAAATTAAAAATAAAACTGCACCCCTTAGCACGAACCATTATCGAATTCGATTCGAATTTGATCTATTTTATACGTCAAATGTATACTGATTTTAAGTTCTCGTAACGTCCGTTGTGGTGCTGCTATTCAAGTTTCCATACAAAGACATACCGCACTCGCAAACTATTCGAATTCGTTTATGACATTGGTTCGTTCTTAAGCGGTTCACCCTCAGCAGCGCGCTACGTCGCGTAGCGCGCATAGAGTAACTTTGTGGTAGCGCGTGAGCGTAGATTTCAACGTTGTATGCAAGTATCTCAGTTTGAATAGAAATCACGCGATCTACCAATCGTCATGACCTTTGATTATTTTGAACAAGCGTCGGCGCGCGGTGGTTCACCACGCACATAGTTCTGCTGGTTCTGCCCACAGATTAATAAGATTATGTCTGCCAATCGGCGCGGAGGCGTAGGGCGATCAGCGGGCGGGGTATAACACTGAGCGACGCAGTCTCGCGCGCGTTTTTCGTTACATCCTTAGTCTCCCCCTCGGAGATTGCCACCGGAGGCATATGGGAATAAACCTGTTTTATTCCCAGTCTGTCGCGTTGTAAGCCGATTTGCCCACTGGCAACGCGTCCCGACGCGTAGCAGATCAGGCGTGCATGATGATCTGCCGCCATGCATGTGAGAGAACACGATAAGGGTACTGATACTGCCCTGTGCAGCAGGACAGATAAGCAATATCCTGAAATAGCTAAATCCCAGATTAGCATAAAGACTAATCTGGGATTTAAAGGCAGATTAGCATAAGATCGTGTACTGTCGACGTCAAAAAAATAACTATTTACAGTTTTATTAATTTGTGTCCTATATTGCCACTAGTTCTGATTCCGTAAGCCTATCTCGCTATATGTTGGACATGTGTTCCGAATAACCAGTGGAACCTCAAAATCACAAAGGAAATTCCTAGCTATTTTAATGAAAATCTTCTAACAACGAATGGAGTAGTAGAGGGATGGTACCGAGAGTTAATATAAAAAAACACATGCGAAACTTTACTTTTCAGTTTTTTTAACCAGCAATAGAAAACCACAAAAACATTATCTTACAAGGATTTTTTTTAAGTTATCACTAGGGATATTCGATATACATCGATGCATCGAAAACATCGATGTTTGCAATGAAAAACATCGAATCGATCCGATGTTTTGAAAAGCTTTCAATATACTCGATACATCGATGTTTAAAAAAAACATCCAATTGGTAATAGAGTTTGATCACGTAGTGATAATATCCTCTTTGGTTTGACCTCAGTAAAAAAAACTTAAGTTTGACCACTAAAATTTTACTTTTTACTATTACGAAAGCATCATTATTCCGAATTCTCTGAAATGGATCCGATGTTAAGTCAAGTGCAGTGACAATAAAAAATATCTACGTGTTTCTATGTTTATAAACATTTAATGACCTTTGGTTTTGTGAAACAAACTAAGATTGAAGTATATTTCTAATATTCTTTTGACGGACTTAGCATAAAATTTTGTGGGTTATTTAGTGTTTTTCAATTTGATCTTTTGTAAAATAGAATACAGATTTTTCTTGTTACATTTTTTCTTCGGCTTTTACTTGTATTTACCTACTTATTATGAAAGGAGTTAATTCTACTATTTTATGAAAGATTAATATCTAAACTGTATTAAAATTATGGATTAAGGTCCTTTCATAAACTACAATAGTAACGTATTTTACTATGAAAAGATGGGCTCTTTTGAGATGAGTCACTTTCCACATAAGTTGGGTTTTGTAATAAAATTTCAGAAAAAGTACTCGATGTTTAAAATATATCGGTGTTTTCATCCGATACATCAAAATACATCGATGTACAGTTGCGATGTATCGAATCAAAAAATACATCGATGTTTTTTCAGAGTGGACACCCCTAGTTATCACGAGTTTATTTTACAAAATTTCCGCAATAGAATGTTTGATATGGTTGGCCAGTTGAAATAACTAATTAATTCCTCTTAAAGTATACATTTTTTAAAATAAAATTTTATGAATTGTAACTGTACAATTTTTTTTTCTGACGGTCTGTACTTCTCTGCCTTTATGTAAGTCTATCCTTCTGCTAATCTGGATTTTTTGCTTCTCTGTCCTTCTGCTGCAGAAGGTGATAGTATAGTCGTGCCAGTTTTGACAGTAGATAGTCCTCGTTTAAGAAAAGGCACTAACTGCCGACTAATTTAAGTTTATTGAAAAAATCTCGTTATTTTACGTTAATACAAATTGACTTTAGGGGTCTGGTAAACAATAATAACAACAACCTTATCTGAATGACACCATATTTTATTCACAAAAATTTTATAACACCAATTTGTTACCAAAATAAAGGATTATTTTATAATTAGTCATACACACATTATCCACATAACAACTTAGTTGGTAATAATAAACGATGCTCTGGGCGCATTAGTTTTTTTTGTCTTTTTAATTTCTCTAATTGAACATCGTTCATTATGACCAACGGGAGTATTTTTTTACACAATTATAATTCCAAACGAAAAAAAAAAGAATTCAGTGGTGTTCAATGGGGAAAACACTCCTCGGTAATACAGCCTTGGGTCTTAACACTAAAATTAACTGTAACTTAAATAATGAACTCCTCATATAAAAATAATAATCAAAATTAATGTTATGCATATTAAATACATAGCTAAAAACCTAAGTAAATAGACCGCCGATGTCTTTGTAATGTTACCCTCTTTAAAATTCCATTTATCAACTTCAATAAATAGGCTATTGCACATTTGCGATAATGCAAATTCATTACAAGAGCTATTATTTCTTATGATTTTGTTTAAATACTAGGTACATGGGAAGGTAACACTAAAATATTTCGATGAATACCGGTTTTCATTGCACCAAAGTTCAAATTTAAATGCGGACTAGATGGTTAACTTGCAATGCAAAACATAGACACATTGTTCGCAACAAATTGTTAATTTCTACATAAAAAATAAAATAGAACGCTTGTATAATCTTTTCGTAATAGGTATAACTAGATTGCTTTTGGGTACAATTCACAGAAATATACCATTATTTATTGGAGATATAAAAAAAACATATTATACACTAGGGTTATTCTTGGTAAAACATTTATATATGCGCAGGGGTTGTGTTAACGAAGTACGCCGCTTGCTTCGGCCATGTTTCAAGGCAAGTATTATAAATTATAAAGGAACCCTGATCTTGTTTAGGAAAATGCCCTTGATATTTAAAATTAAAACTGTTTCAGTGCACGAAACAAATCTGTATTGTGCTGAGAGAGCGATCTTTTAACACCTATGATTTATTAATATTACCTTCATTAAATCCTTAGTGATAATTATACTTAGTGATAAGCTCTCGTATTAAACAATAACGTAAGCATTTTCCGATTTTATAAAAGCTCTAGATTAAAATAATATTCGCATTGAATTAAAGCAAACTATAATTAGTTATGATAGTGATGCGGCTACGCGCAAACATTAAATACTTTTAAAATTCTCAATTATTTCGATCGAACACCTATTTTATAATAAATATCCAAGTGATCATAAGAATCCAAGCTAGGGTTGGCACTTCAGCGATGACGAGTAGTGCATCTAAAGCTGCTCTCAGAAATAAAACTAAGACTATTTCGTTTTAACTCACAACTATTTTGATCAGTTTTTTTTAATAATTATAAACTATTATCAGGAACATTCACTAATAGAATTAAGACTCTTTTTAAACTAATGTACATAATGTAACAATGTTATTATATTTTACATGGAAATAATTTACTGTAAATTATGATGAGTGATGAAAATAAATGATTAAATGATTTAGTTACATTAAGGATCGATAGCGATAGGGCTATACAAATGATAGGAATAATTGTATTAGATTCACATAGTCAATGCTATAAGTATATATAAATATCAGTGCTAACTGTCATTTATAACAGTCATGCTAACTGTCATTTATAACAGTCAATGTCCTAATAGTTATATGTCACAGCCAACTGCGATAGGATCATTAGATATAAAGTTATAAATGCCAGTGTTAGCTAGTTACTCTAATTATGCTGTTAATCAGAAAATAACCTAAATTCTTTTTTTTAAATGTAATAACAAGACCATCATTGTTCTTTTATATTTTCGTCTTCTCAAAGTAGCATGATTACTATATTAAAGATATTAATTTAATATCTATACATTTAAAACAAGGCTATAGCATAATCAATCCAATATTAAGTTTCCAGGTTAAATTCTACTTAACAGCAAAGGTCCTGAATAAAACTATTTCAATAAATAAGCAACACAGATACTTAATTAAAAGGCAGTTGTTATATAAAACCTTATTTCTAGATGTGCTTCTTCTACATAAATTAATACAAACATAGGCAGACCGCAATTACCATCAAACATTTTGTCCATTTTTATAAAAAAAAATATAAGGGAGGAATTGTTTTTTTTATATAAAAGATTAATGACATTTTATCATGCTGTCTTCTAAGGAGCTTACAATGAATAACAATACTGAGAAAATCTCGATTCAATGAAAAATGTATGTGAAACAATATTTTTAGAAGTTATCAAAGCCTAACAAATTTTGATGGTTTGTTAAAGTTCCTTCAATGAAGGTTGTCTTTGATAATCAATCTTCAGTAAGAAGTAGGCATTTAAGGACTTAATTGCCTAGATATAATTGCTATTTAGATTAAAATAACAGTTGCTACGAAACGTAACCAGAATAAGCTATCTTTCACTGAACACTGATTATTGAAACTGGCCAAAATTCAACTCCAAGATTTGGACGTATTGTAAAACCAAATGTTTGATGACAAGTACATGTTACCCAAAATGTCCCACAAGAAACCATACCCGACATTCGTAGATATTGTAAATTTGTGCTATTCCCTGTTGTTATAAGCCCAGTTTTAATAAATACTTTAGTTTTTCTAGAGGACCATTTGAATAAATATCATTATTTGTAGCATAAGTTTAACAGTCAATAATGCTCAAACGCAATTTTGAGATCTGTCAGTGGGCCTAGTTCTGGGATGATTCTCTAAACTTAACTTTATTAATGCTCTTAATAGAGAATAATAAGAGACTGCTGTCAGATTAAGATTTGGGTTTAGACAATCGTACCAAAATCAGGTCCAATATCTTATTTATGTAAAGCTTATAGATTTCATAAAACCTTCATGAGATCTAAAGCCTTATGAATTTGAATTTTGGTTTGCAACATTGGCGGCAGAATGTTTTTCTAAGCTATTTGCAATTTCACATCATATTTTGGCGTTTGAATCTTTTCATTAAGTATACTTTGTATTTATATAAACCGATCCTTCTGATTTGAAGAGTTAATATTGTGATAAGTTACAAATATAGATTAGAGCAACAAAAAACGAATATTAAATATTATTGACTATACATACACTTACAAAATTAAACAATTTATGCTTCTTTCTCATTCCAAGGATATTGAAATCTATGCATTTCGTTGATTACATAGCTAAAAGTAGAGAGGTGCCAAAATCAATAATATATTCAACGTGTACTATCCATAGTTATTGCCAGTATCATCACCTAATTATTCTATTACCTACCCTCATTCCAAATTAATGTATCAACAACAACCAAGTTATACAAATAAAAAAAAGCTTAAAAGTTAGTAAATTATAAATTTTATCAGAAATTATCATACAAAACTAAACCTATTTCGTTTCATTATCGTAATATTTAAATTGACTAATTTTAACACTAAAACATTATTCAAATACATCTGGTCACTAAACCAGTGTGAATTATATAATATCTTTTTTTATTATATTAAAAACATGTTGGCATTTTGTAAACACCTAAGTAGAAAAGTTCTACTTTACGTAGCAATTTTAAATGATATCCACATACTTTTTGGTCAATTTCGTAAATAGCAAAATATCAATCAAACACTACATAAGGCATTGGTGTATTGCCTTCATCAATCTAAAGGAAGGATATTAACATCAAATATCACTCGATCTTTCCCAACAATAATGTTTGCCGTGAGATCATGAGGCTCTGCAAGCCAGGACATATTATACCATCTCGCTACTAAACATCACATAATCAATGTTATTTATAATAGATTATATAAATAATATTGTAAAATTTCGTATAACCAACAGTTCATCTACAATAATAATGTTCATTTTTGCATAGAAAAACTACTAACAGAAATGAACCATAGATCTCGTGTCGAATTTGAATAATATTAAAAACAGACGTTCCAAGTGGATAGACAATCTATTTATGTTTAACACTTATATTTTTACAACAATTATATTATACAAGTGACTACTACTAACAATCCATTGTATTCCTTCGTGCACACCATATCACATGTAACAAGGGCACTACGCTCACTGCCTTGCCTTTTAGTCCGTCAACGAAGCACCAATTCCTTGAAACTCCATCACTCCGCTAGCCTTCACTAAAAACACTTTAGCTACTTTTATCTCCATTCTTTAGGCTATTAATAAAAAAATATCTTTTACATTCTGTGATAACTCTATTTTACAATGCCTTCAGAAATTTTGATATTCAGCTGCTACTGAATTTTTAGTAAAAGTCACAGCCTTTCTGTTCTTCAATCCCTAAATTATAACTATCAATTACATCTAGGACGAAATGTTACAGTTCATGAGACACATTATTCTCAATTCTTTTAATCAAACCAATGTTCTCTACATACAAATTGAATTGTATGCATTGAAACAGCAGTCTAAAAACATTGTACTTTATTTACAACTAATTTCATTCAAATATTCATCAATCAACAAGAGAAACAATATGAATCATGAACTTGATAGTAAAACTACAAACTTTTTTTTACATTTTCGTTTATAAAACCACAATTCCATATTGTCCAGTAGAGAACTTCCTAAACTAATTACTAGATAAGTTGGAGCACAACAACACAGATCAGTTAGTTTATAAAAATATTAACATTAGAAAAACTTGTCTAGACTGGGAAATTAGTTTTTTTCATAGCCAAAGTAAAACCAGCAGCTCCAACTAGTTAATAACATTATTTACAATAGTTTTATTGTGTTACAATAAATTTACGCAAAAACACGCAAGCCTATATAAGCAGGCAAGTGGTGCACGCTAATAAATTTTGCATATTTGTACTTTTAAAACAATGATAAATAAAATTATAAAGTTGAATCTAAACATTCTATTAGTTTCAATTAATTTTAGAATTTCGCGGTCTGCCACTCACAGGTAAATATTCGTCTGAGCTTGATTCTATTGATGATAGGAAATGCATTTAAAATATTGTGATTAAGAACAAGCAAACCAATTTAGGCCTATAAGTGGTAGACCGCGATTATCTTTGAGTGAACAGTATAGAAATACAATAGGAAACTTCTAAACAGAGGTTAGTAATAAAATGCTTGATAGAAAACACAAACCAAAACAAAAAATATCTATTAAAAACTAAACAGCCACCCATCTTATGCTCCTTCGACATTTTACCTCAGAAAGTCTACAATGTACACTTAGTTCATTATCACTCCACAGTCCTCTCACAGTTTTTTAATTATTCTCGACTAAACGCAAAGCTTGAATAGTTATTATGTTCTTTGTTTTTTTAACCTCAATTTGTCACAAGCACCAATTTGACACATTCATAGTTTGGTCCGTATTTACATAGTGTCCGGTTTGGCAGAACGATGTGGTGGAAGAGTATCATGCCTTCTGTACATAAGCAAATATGGCATTCGTGGAGCCTTCGGTTTTAACACTTGAGCGTCACTCACTTGTGTCACAGTCGAATCATCATACCTGGAAATGTAACTTTGGTTAGAACAGCATTTGATTTTAATAATGAATTGAAATTCCATTTTATGCTCAGTAGTTGTTGACCACATAGAAGCAATAAGCTTTCAGAGACGAAAAATAATGTCATCATTGTTTGTTTACTTGCAAGTATGAATGTCTTTACCAAAAGTACAAATAAGGGGGTCAAGTTAGAATAAAATGTAAAAGAGTTACTATTAAATTTTATCAATATTTTGCAAATAAAACTTGAGTACTCATGACTAAAATCTATTCAACTTCAAACTATAAAAAGGTTTAACAATAGGTAGTATATTACAGATATAAAATCATAAATTAAAAAAAAAGGCCGGATACTGTTGCTAATTTCAAAACTTTGAACACATTATAATACCATTAAAATAAAGAATAGTGATAAAGAAAATAATTTACGTTAAAATGTGAAATAATGTAATCAGTATGGTTACACTGGCCATCTTTAGTCTTGATAAAAAGTTTAAGAATCATTGGTTTATGTGTTTACCTTTTGTCTCAGAGGAAGTATATTATTTATATAGTCTGCAAGAATAAATTACTACTTAAAACAATTACCTGATCCATCCAACTTGTCCATGGTATGTATCGGTGAGATAATGCCCTTTGATCGCTTCCACACCCTCGTGATAAACGACAGCAAACAGTTTGTAAACCCTCTGCTTCGTTGTATATTTCAATTTGGACGACATTATCTCTGTGAAAGTTAAAAAATAACATAGTTAATATTGAAGTCTTTCCAAAACAATATTCTTTTGGCAGGTTTCGGTAACTCAGCCTTGTATGTCTACATTGATGCGATCAACTTGATCGGTTCAGAGACGAAAAATAGGTACCATCATTGTTAAAACAAGAAATAAAACCGTAAAGTGGCTATCAGAGACACTCTAGAGACAAAAAAAAAATACTCTTATGGTCACTGTCAGCTACATTAGTGATGCAACAATAGAATACAACAACATTGCACTTTGAAAAGCATCAAGTTAAGTTGACGTCTATCAGTGATTACACCAATTAGGGATAATGGCTTACTTTTTTTTCCGTCTATCACACTGTGTATTGGACACATTTTTTCTATGTACATATTCACATAATCAAAACATTACAGAGATATTGATTTTGAATGTCGCATGACGTCACGTCTTGGTACAATTTCTGCTTAGAAGTGATGTCACTACAAAACTTTGACGCGCTTTATCTTTGTAATTTTTTGTTTGATTGGCATAAGAAAAAAAAGGTCCATTATTTTTTGATAATGTAACTGATGGACAAAATAAAATTTTGTTTACTTTACCCTATCATCATCCCTATAGAATAGAGACAACACGTCTCAGACAAACAAGCAAAAAAAACCGATAATAGAAAAAAAAAATATTTTACTCACTAGGGTCAATTTTCAGATCGATGGGGTAGTCAATATTCTTGACTATCTTAGCAGTGTGTCCTTCTGCATCTAATTGGAAGCATTTGAGATGTAACAGCAGTACAACTGGCAATTGTTCCAAAGAAAGTTGTTGCCAAGCATCCGATACTCCTTCCAATGTATCTTTGTTAGCGAGAAGCTCCAGAGCATCTTTAACACTGGTGGCACGCTGGAATAAAAATAGGTGTTTTTGTAAAATGCAGTTTTTATACATAATTTAAATGAGGATTTGAGTTATTTACTCAGTAAAGTTTGTCTGCAAGAAGACATTTGAAAATGACTTTCAGAGACGAAAAATAGTACCATCATTGTAAATTTTGGTTAAGTATTTTAATATGTAATTTTTTCCTACTATGTTTATGTGATATCGAAACGAAAGTCCTGTATTTAATTTAGCCTATACTAGCGGCCGCTCGCGACTTCGTTTGCGTTTACATTAGTTTATTGAGAATCCCACAGGAACCTGCCACTTTATCGGGACAAAAAGTATCCTATGTCTCAATCCACGTCAACTACATGTGTATCAAATTTAATCCACATCTGTTCAGTTTTTTATGCGTGCTCGAGTTAACAAACATTCAAACTTTTATATTTATACTATTAGTAGGATAGTAGCTCCGAGGAGCTCGATGGCGCAAGTAGTTAGCGCGTTGGGCTGCGATCGTTAAAGTTAAGCAACTTTCGCAGTGGTCGGTCGGGCAGTGGTGGTGGGATATGTGACCAAAAATTTACTTTCTCAAACTGCTGTGCTTCGAAAGGCACGTTAAGCAATTCGCACTGGGCCCGCGTGGTGGGTCATGGCTAGTCTTGCTAGGTGTCCCGATTTTCAGGGGTCTGGGGACGTGTCCCGATATGTACTTGATCGGGACGCTAAATGTCCCGATTAATCAAAAAATTCAATTTAGGTAATTAATGTAATATTATACTTGCACTACTTGTTTAAAACGCAATTTATAATTAAATTATACTGTCCCGATCTGCAACCCTAAATCCCGATTTTTTTTGACCTCATGTACCGATTTAAAACAAATCGCACCTCGCAACACTAGTCATAGCCCAATCTCCCTATTCCGTCCATAAGGTAGGCCTGTGCCCCAGCAGTGAGGACATTAATAGGCTGATGATGATGATAGTAGGATAATGCAAAGAATATTTCCGTTGAAATATATACGCAACACTAGTCATAGCCATAGCCCAATCTCCCTATTCCATCCATAAGGAAGGCCTGCGCCCCAGCAATGAGGACTGATGATGATGATGATGTTAGTAGGATAATGCAAAAGAATATTTCCGTTGGTATATATACCTCAATGTCCAGTTGCAGCGTGAAGAAAGGCTGCACGGCGTCAGTGACGAGGTGGTGAGGGGCTCGGGTTAGTCTCACGCGCGTTTTCCCGCGGAATATGTCGCCGACGGGAGTGCGGCGTGCGGCCCAGCGGCGTTCCACCGCGCCGCGGTTGCGGGGGCCCATTACCTATAGAGAAATACAATACACAATACAATACAAAACAGTTTATTGCACACCACAGAAAACATTACAATAAATACAGAGCCATTTAAATCAAGTGTTACAATGGGCGGCCTTATCGCTAAATGCGATCTCTTCAAGACAACCTTTGATTAGAAGGAAGTGGGAGAGACGGCGGCGTAAATTTCAATGTAATTTAATATATATACATATACACACAAAAACAAATATATTTTATATTTATATATGGAGAAATAATGAAGAATTAATATTAATATATGGAGATATATTATTAAAGTGTAATTTTTTGTCAGACGGGGTGTAAATGGAAAAGACGAAGCGGAAATGCGTTACGAGCGTAACAAGACTATATATGGATTGCCAACCCTACTACATAATATTGTATCCAAATATAATTGGCGAAACTACTATATTTGGCTAAAAGCAGACTTTTGCCAGTAAAAACTTTCTTAAAAATAAAAACTTGATTATTAAAGCATATAGCAGCAAAAATATATTCTTTTCAAAAATAAAATAAATATTTTAAGCACATACTATATTTCTTTAAATATTTTGCCATCTACTATATTTTTAGAGGTAAAAGTTTCGAAAATACTATATTACGAGCACGAATTTTGGAGGGTAATTCGGCGAAGGCTGAAACGCTACGAGCATTACGATATATATACATAGTAGCGGCCCGTCTCGGACGAGCATCACGCTATATATACATAGTAGCGGCCCGTCTGGGCTTCACACGGGTGAATTAAATACTATGGAAACATGATGAATCAGCAATCACCTGATTTTTCAGCTTAGCTAAGAGTTTCTAAGTAAATAGGTTGAGTATATTAAATCTATTTGGCCATGGGAATGGCCATCTTGATTTTTTTGCTTAGCAGTTTCTTTTAGGCATATAGGTTCAATATTTTTTTATCCCGGTACTTCGCGGGGCGCAGCTAGTAATAACATATTAGAGCAAAGGACATCGACGAAATCGGCCCTAGCATGCCCAAAAGAATGCCCTTCACTATTATTGTTTTAACTTATTAGCCATTAATCATAGTAAACAGACAATCTGTTTAAAAAAAAAAAACTGGTTCTGTTGCTAGATACTACAGTCTGTTCATCCTAACTTATCCTATTTGGTAAATAATCTTGGCACTCCTTTTTATTGAAAATACAGCATTAAAAATCAACTGATACCTGGATTCAATAGGTTTTGGTCTATAATAATTTATTTATTTTCTAAATGTCTACGACCAAAAGTTTATGCGTGCGTTGACGCACTATTTAAAACTACATCATGCTATATCTTTGGTTTATGAGGGTAGTTTGGAAGAGCAAAAGCACAGATAGCGTAGAATTTTAATGAATCCTATGCACTTTTGGATGGTCTCCCATACAAATTTTTGACACGAAAATTTGCAATTTTTTTGAGGGTAGTTGTAAAAAGTTTATGTAACACGCTTAGTGTACATCTATTAAATAATGTTTATGCAAAATTTGCAGTCCTTAGGGATAAGATTTTACGAACAAACGTTTTTTGCAAATTTTACGCTGAGCGCTAAGAGACTGAATTTCAAAAAAATCCATTTTATTACTTGTCTAAGCAATAATAGGAACTTACTATCCAAATTTCATCATTATAGGTCCAGCCATTTCTGCAGTGCGTTGATGAGACGGTGAGTCAGTCTGTCAGTGTATCCCTTTATATAATAGTATATAAGGCTATATTAGATTTCACATCTAATATTGTTAACAAAGAGTTAATAAATCGTCTAATATTGTTAAAGCCTAAAGAACATCATAGGTCGCGGACTCAGGTAAGCTTCAAATTAGAAATACCACTATTGCTTTTAATAAAATTATGATGAAACAAGTTTTTACCTTCCACTCATCATCGTCGTCGTCCTCTTCCGGCACCTGCTCTTGAGGAATGACGCCGTTTTGTTGGCCATTGCTGTCTTTAGGTTCTTCGGGCTCAACCAGTTTCATGAGCTGTAACAAGAAAATTTTAATTCTATAAAACTTCTTGCGCTATAAAAGTATTAGAAATTGTAACAAAAACATTCAGAAATCGTAAGAGGTCAATTGCTGTCGCCGACAATAAGTAACTATAATATGACGTAAAAAGTTATGTGGAGTTCTTTTTTATATTAGCATATTATGGTTCATGTCGATATTTGTCACGTTTGTTATACAAATGGTGTTATTTTATACTTGTATATTATTCAGTATGTATTTACTGGTCGCGTCACATAAAAAGAACCCTGGAAGAAAGTACTGGCATGGGTACACTTGCGCACCGAAGGTACTAGGCCTCTATACTAAATTGCTTATCGATAGAAAATATCGATATTTTGCTATAATCGATCTTACCCTCATCACTTTGATGCACTAAGTTTAAAATCTGACCTTGACGTGTCCAGTCCGCTTGCTGCCAACTTTGACGATTTTAATTCCAAACAAAAATTGAATGATGCGGCCTCTAGTGGGGTTAGTCCATGTGAGGATCACTGTCAACTCTGAGACTATGATCTAAAATACTGTTTTCATACAATACAGTATCTTAACACTGTACTCACGGGTAGCTCTCAGCATTGAGAGGAATCTACTAATACAGGCCTTGGAGCTCTCTAATATTAAATTAATCAGGATAGAATATCTACTAACCTCAAGCATTTCATCATTCAGCGAGTTCAGTAAGCAACCAAGAAATTCTTCAGCATCCTCCTGCCTGCCTTCCTGTGATCCGGGGAAGGGTCTCAGAGCCCTTAGGACTCGCAGACCGGCACCCCCTTCTAGGGGGGGACCGGCGGGGACTGCGGGGCCCCCGCTGCAGGCGCCTTCGCCCCTGCCCCGAGCCCTACTACCCGGGACTGTACCCGTAGCAGCGCTGAATTCATAGCATAGTTCCACCCTGTTTGCATGGAATGAAAAAAATATTTTTTAGCCATCACTACAATAGAGAAAACAAATTAAGATAAACAAAAAGCAAATTTACAGTTTAGTTTAAGAAATTATTACTATTGAATAACTATTACATTGTTTTTCTTCCATCAATAGTCTTTGCCATCTCTAAGAATAGCGGTCGCATTGTAAATAGGTTTTGACATTAAATTTCGGAAATTTTAAGTCCATTTACACGCAGAAGCCGTTAACACTATTATGGAGAAATTCCCTTATCATTAGACGTCGGAAACATAGCCACTATTGGTAGTGGCGTGTTTGTATTATAGTCACGACGATTCTTCAAATAATATCACTTTTCAATTGTTTATAAAAAAAATTGTTTTGCAAAACCCCAGTCACTAATTTTAATATTTGCAAAGGAAAAATCTTAAGTTCCTGCCAAACATTATACATCGAAGCTATAATAACATTGATTTTGGTCGATTAGCTGATGCACTTTTGTATGAAACAGCAGGTTTTTTTTGCGATTTTAGCGTTGGTCCTATTATAAAAGTTGCTCCTGTTGATGGGTAGAATCCCCCCTAAGAGGTTGTAGGTGTTTTAAAATTAACCCTGTATATATATATATATATATATATATACAGGGTTAATTTAAATTATATATATATATATAAGGCTTAAATTATATATATATATATAAGCAGCTGGAACACTTACATGGAATCGATAACGGGCGTGCTGGATTTTCCTCGGCGCGTTTGATACGGCAGCGCCTTCAGCATGTTGTAGAAGGGCGGGCATGCGATCAACGCCTGCAGGATTGCGTTAACGTAGCAATAGTTCGAGCGGTTAGTGAGTCCTCGGGGCAAGAGGGACACCGGCCTATTGTCCAGTTGGTACTTGGATAAGAACTCTGGAATTTAGAAAGTTGAAAAATAGTTATTTCTATGGGAGACTAAGAAAATGTGTTGTATGAGTTTGCATAGTTTAAGAGCAAGCTCACATTGAGGCAATAGTGGAGATCACTTAACGCGTCGAGTTTTATTTTCATACATTTTGTATAATATTGGCGCAAAGTAAGCGTTCGAGTGGCCGCCACAGTGGCTCACTGTGAGCTTGCTCTTAGTTTTGAAAGTACGTAATGTGAAACTATTACCCTTTTTCTGTAATAATCACTTGAATCAGTATAGACAAGTATAAAGAAATACACAGAAGCCTAAATAATTCACATCAATAGAAAAATTTAGGCGGGTGGTATACACAGACACGAATTTCGACTTTATAATCCAATTCTTTCCGAAATTAACATGTGCATGCTGATTTTACCAGTCATTAGGAAGCTGCTATTCTATGAAATTTACAGATAATGAAACAATCAGTGTAGTTATACTACTTTAAATACTCAGAACTTGTGATGTAGCAAGATTGTGTATATTTCGTTTCTATGAAGTTAAAACTACATCAACAATATAGTACCTAATTGATTATTGAATTATTTCTCATTATTAAATAACTTTACTACATAAACAGGTTATATTAAAAACGTTAGTAATACAATGACTTTAGTAATGTACAGATATGATAAAATAAATTCATATTTACCTCCCATTCTGTAGGAATTGGGGTCGTCGCTGAAAGGAGATGGTTGCACGGGAACAGCTGGAGCAGGGTCCTTCTGTATTGGCACTTCGCGCACTTCAGCAGGCGCGGGTTGAGTTACTGCCGGCTTTGTAGCGACGACTGGACCGCTCGTCACATTGCTGACTGCGTTCACAGAAGTCTTCTCTGAATACGACACTGTAGGCGCCGCAGTAGTCGTCGGCCGCGGAGTAGGCGAGCTCTTATCTACCACCGCCGCTTGAAGGGGCGATGCGTCAAAAGGAGACACTTTCGCAACTGGCTTTTGCACGTTAGTAGCCACGGGGGGCGTAGCAGTTGTAGGACTCGAAGGCTCCTCTGTTGTAACAACCGGCGTTGGCGCAGGAGTGGTCACAGTAGTTTTGGTAGAGAACAAACTCGCCCAAGACTTTCCAGGGGCTGGTTGCGGCTGCGGTTGGATCACTGGAGGGGGAATTGGTTCTCCCCGGTTTCTCGGTGTAGGGGGAGGAGGGAAGTCGGAAGCCGTCGGAGCTGGCGGTGGCGGTTGTGGCGCTGGCGGTGGCTCGGGGGCTGTCGCGGCAGCTTTCCTCGAATGCCCGAAAGGCGATTTGTTGGTCACTATGAAAGGTTGCCCTTGTGTGTGCAATGTTATTGAAATCGGCATTGGCGCTTTGCTGGGCGGTAGGGGAGGCTCCCGTTTGACGTGCTCAGTTGGGGCAGCAGTTCTTTCAGTATTATCGACGGTCTCGTTGGACGGGGAGCGGTTGGTAGGGCCGTCTCGTTTCTGTCTGTTTCCGAATGGCGCTTTAGGTGTAGTTGCGGCTTGCTGCACTGGCACAACGGTCTGTGGTACAGATGGCTTCGTAGTTTGTTTGCCGCCAGAGAAAGGAGCAGCTGGGCCTTTCGTGGGCTTACCGGCAGCAGGAGTCACTTTCGGCGCTGTAGTCGCTTGGTTATTAGAAGGTGCTGGCGGAGGGAACGATTTTGCAGCAACTTGAGCCTGATTGGTAGGAGAAGTCTCGGGAGCTTTAGCTTCGTTTGGTACCCATCCAGGTTTAGAGGCATCAGTCTTAATCACTGGAGCAACTTTCTCACTTGGAGAGGTAGCCGGCTTAGCCTGAGCGTTCTCAGCTGGCCGTTCAGACTGTTTCGGACTGCTCGGTCCTTTTGGTGATATTTTGAGATCTTTGATAGGAAGAGATTCCACAGCAGCAGCGGACGTTGTCGCAGTTGCCGCCGCAGCAGTCGTCGGGAGAGCCTTTAGTTCTTGACTCTTTTCGGGAGGTGTGAAATTCTTATTTTGGCTTTGACCTTGAACGAAATTCTTCGCGTGCACGTTAAACTGGTGCGGAGTCGATTGATGCGGTGGCTGCGGGTGTTGCGGTATCGGTACCGGCGGTGGGTGTTGAGGTGGCGGGAGGTATATCGGTGGCATGTACTCGACGCCGCCTTCGACCGGAGGACCATAAGGCGGGCCTGCGTAGTGGGCGCCCGCGTAGTACGCATCCACAGCTTCCTGCTCCATCACGACTTCTTGGGGATACTCCTCCGGGCCCTTTTCGCCAGCGTCGCCTTCTACAGGCATCGGATATTCTGGGTAGTAGGGCGGATATGCGTATGGCCCGTAAACCAGGGGTTGGTACATAGGGAACTGGTATAACGGTGCCCCTTGAGCTTGCGCAGCGGGATAGTACTGTGGATACTGGACGTAATACGGGTGTTGTTGGGGGGGTGGCGGGGACGGAGCGCGTTTGCCGCGTCGATCTCGACGATGGGTGCGCGGGCGATCAACTTGCGGGGGAGCGTATTGCGGTTGCGGTTGGTAGTACTGTCCCATGTAGCCGTGCACGTTAACGTTGGCGGTGACTTGGCTGACGTAGACGTTCGGTGGGGCGACGGGCCATTGATGGGGGTGGGGCGGTGGGTAGGCGGGCGGGGGGGCCACGTAGGCGGGCGGGGGCGCGTGCGGAGGCCCGGCGCCTGCGCCCCTTACTGGCGAGTGGGGCGCCATCTCGCACTCGCCGCCCGACAGGCTGTCCAGGCTGGTCGACACGGTCGGTGGGCCAACGGTACTCGATGAACAGGACGAGGTGTCTGTGTGGAACACATGAAAAAATGTATTGATAAAAAGTCTTCTGACCTAAAGGACTAAAAACACAGTTAAGGCTAACATTATTGTGTTTAATCTCAAGCTGTAAAGACTTTGTCGAAAATATAATTTGCCTATTCTGTCCTGCCCCTCTAGCATGACCACAGAAACGGGATATAATAAAGATTTTTATCGAATCTCAACTGTCAACTCCACTGTAGTCTGACAGTTAATGTCGATATATCGCTTTATTATATCCCGTTTCGGTGGTCATGATAGAGGGGCTAGGTCTGAATTTTCATAGTACATACTTACTTACGCATATGAGACCAATGTATGTGATGGCTGATGATGTTAACGATTTATCAGTCGCCATCCGTTTTATATCATGCATAATGATGGAATTGACTGACGACTGCATAATGGACGCCTAATGAGACCTTCAAGATTTATGATCACTACTGATTAAGATTAAACTAAAAATCTAGAATCTATTGATTCTTATTTTATTCAAAGTTTATTTTTATCTTAATACAATACCCTTAGTACGAGTTTGAGCTCACGAAAACTATCATAGTTTTCGTAATTGTAAATTATGTTTCTATGTCCATTTTGGTGAAAAGTAACCAAATATACTTAAAATTTAAGAAGACGCAAATGATTTAATGATAGAATTTAAACACTGTTTATTTGTATTGAAACGAAAACAATAAAATCAGTACCCTTAGTACGAGTGCGAGCTCACGAAAACTATCATAGTTTTCGAAATTGTAAAACTCGTACTAAGGGTAACAGGGTGCACAGAAATAGTAAACTTATTATTGGATACCTTATTGAACAAATAAAAAAAAACAAAGAGGTACTTTTCTGATTTGAAATAAATAAATATTTATAACACTCACACAAATTAGCCTAGCCCCAAAGTAAACACTGTAGGCTTGTGTTATGGGATACTAGGGTAACAGATAATATAAGTATATTATTTTATATAGAACTACATATTAAACATCCATGACAGGACGACAAATGCTCGTATTCATCACAAAAACATCTGCCCTCACCGGGATTCGAACCCAGGGCCTCTCGAGTAGGCACCTTGAAATCTGGCGTACAAACCACTTTGCCACGAAGGTCGTAAATGTAAACCAAAAGGTTAGGTTAGCTTGGCAGTTATTTTTATGGTGATCACAATTGTAAGGATCAATTTATATTAGCCATTTTTAAAGATGCTCAATATTTCAGGCCTTTACTGGATATAATAAGTATTAAATACATAGGTAGAATACATAAAAAAATGTGCAAATTCCTAGACCAAATGTTTTAAATGAAAATCTTAAATGATTTCAACTTAAGTACTTCTACTAATAAATAACATTGTTTAAAACTTTGATGGTCACTAAAATTGAGTCGTATAGTATCAAAGGCGGCAAAGTAGGGCGAACCAAATATTTGGCAAATCAAAAAAAACTGTTTAGTCTCGTCTTTATGGGAGGATTTTTATAATTGACATTCATCATAACTACAATTCGTAGTGAAATGTCAATATTTTATCCTCCTTTAAAGACGAGACTAAACAGTTTTTTTTGATTTACCAAATATTTGGTTCGCCCTACTTTGCCGCCTTTGATGCTATACGACTCAATTGCCACTGTCACTTAGTCTAAATTAAGCAATATGCCTCAAGAAAGTAACGAATCAAACTCAGAAAAGCCGTTTTTCAACAATCGTAAAGCCCAGATCGACGACGGCGAGCGCGATTCCTATCGGCGTGGCTCACCCACTACTTACGATTTTTTATATATTTTTCACGAGACAGCTTTGTTATCTTATAGGTAAAACTGGGTTTTTGTACTAACACACGTTCTAACATTACTGACAAACCATAAAACCGTGGTATTTTTTGCCCTTCGATCATCTCCACATTAGTGTCTGTCTACACCTCCACGTCAAGACGCTGTCAATGTGGAACAACGTGGTAACGCTGACGTAATGTGCCTGGTCCATAATTTACACTTTTTTTTGTATGTATGCTGTTGGTCGCACATGACCTTTACAGCGTCACCGGGTTTGGGGACGGCGAGAACCTAAGGGGATCTCAAGCCGAGAATTGGCGAGTGCCTCTACAGGTATTCCAGGCGGATGGCATCTCCCCACGGGGGGAATTTATACGTTATGTCAACGGTGGAAAGGCACTATGTGATGATCAGTCGTTCCGAAACCCGCGGTATATAGCTCGTGAGTCGATCACCAACTGTTTTAGGTGTATAGAGTTTACTCCATATGAAATGTAATTAAAATTTATTTCCCTATCTATTAAAAAGAATCTTTAAACAAATGCACTTACCTATGGCAGATTCGGCCCGACCGAAGGTGCCTGTGGTCGCCGCTGCTTCAGGCTTGCGGTCGTACAAAGCGCACTGCAGACTACTCAGCTCCGCTTCTCTCACATCTGACAAGTCTAGGAACTCATATTCCTGAAACACGCCACTCATTTTAATACAGCAGACTAAACCCTTAACCACAACACCATCAATGGTATTCCGTCATACACACCCGTATCACCACCATAGGTACAACGAAAAGCACACCAAGACAAATAAAAAAAAAAAAAGTGAATATAAGACAGGAAAGATCCAAGAAGACACCTTGTAATATGGATGATGAACTTAGAATGAAAAAATCATTCTGTTGTTAAAGAATGAAGTCTTGGTATTGCCCACAACTAATTAACAAATGAGATTTCATTATTAATAAAAAGACATTTAACAGGAATTTCTAATGATGTCTAATAGACATAATTAGATGTATTTAAATAATTTAATTATTCCTATTAAAATTATTAGCAGTTTTGTTGAATGAATACATGTGCTTGGCAAATTAATTTATCTGAACTGCTTATTCATTGTTGCATTTTATTTAAATTGACCTAAATAACACACAGATAATGTAGACTATTAATGATTATATGATGTTGAGAAAAAATCCATCAACATTGTAATAAACTGAAACCCTTTAAATAGGCATGCAACTCTCATACTTAAAAAATGAATAAAAAAAATCACTCGCAAGTACTTGCTTAACCACTGGAATAATTTTTATTCTCTTTCCATTTAATATATTATATGTACATACATTTTAATACCAAGCCCATAATAAATGTCAAGCAATAGGCAAAGAAGTTTGGAAACCATTTGTAAGTGATTGGCTGGCAACTATGACTAATCAAAAACAATATCTTATGGAATCACATTTCTTTGAGTTGTTAAGTTACTTACAATATAAAGATAGAAATAAAGATAACTAAAGTATTTTTAAAAACAAACAGATACAGATATTATGTTAAATTTCACTGACCACATTACAATATATTATCATATTTAAAGTTGTTACAGATAATTTTTTGCTAACTTTTTTATATATAAATCAATCTACCAAATGCAAGATCACAAAAATTTTATCCCAATTCTAGAGCATTTAGAAACTAATTAAGTTAATTTTAAGAAATTCAAATCACAGTTAATTTCACATAAAAGTTATAATTATTTTCTTTAAGTCATATCCTGTATATTTATACCAAGTCCCCTGCAGTTTTGCAGAGCATAAAGCATATTAATAAAAACAACCAAGTTCAAAGTTGCCAGTTCATCACCTATTTTTTTAAGACTCATGGTTGTTCATTGATAGATGCAATAAATCCGCACAGGAAGTTTTGAGGACCTTGATGGTTTGTTTGGTGTAAGATAGTGAAACTTATGTAACTTTCATAATGACAGGTGATCACAAGGTTGACAATACATTATTATTTCCAGCTCCTGTCTGAAAAAAAGTGCAGCCATGGATCCCAGCCACATCTGCAGTTGTTAGAACCCACTTATCTCCATTCTGGGCTCATGGTGTAATTTAATATGACTCTGCGCATAGGAAAAGCTTGTGCCCAACAGTGGGCATTAATAGGCTAATAATGATTACCCAATTTTCTTTATTTAAATTGATGGTATAAGTATACAAACTTCTTAATGTATTTACAAAAACGGTTGTTTAATTATATTATTGTTTAGAAATTGTTCTTTATCTCACAATACAGGGTGCGAGTATGAGAAGATATTAACGGGTTAATGCCCTTTCAATATAAATTATAGTGTATAATTACAATGCATACAGTTCTTAAAACACCTAACGTATAGTGAGCAGTGCTCATTAATGATATATTTATACTCAAAAATATAGATTATCCAGTCTAAAACTTGGGTAAATTGTACTATGACATATGTATAATGTTAAATGAAGTACAAATGCCATCAGATAAATATTAACCTAGCAAGAGTAGCAGGATTCAAAGCAACAACTTGAGGCAGAGAGTTAGGTCCTGTTGGTATGTATTAATTTAACAATATGAGGTTATGAGCTTTTCTATTTTAGCAATTTTCAATACTTATTTATAATGTGAATCACAAAATAATAGGGAAGTAAGAAACCTTACACTGTCATATCATAATATCTTTGCTATCTAATAAAACACATAGGGGAGATATAATTTTATGAGATTATTACAGTGATTGTTACAATTATTTATAGGCAGGTAATAATCATTTCATGAATCTTTATTTTAATAACAAAACAACTAGCTCCTTTCATGTTTTACCTAGATATCTGTTGTGACAAACCTTGAAATGCTTTTGTAAGGCACAAGTGACACTTAATTTGAACGATGGACTTCATGGTAGTTTTGTCAAATTTTAGGTTATGCTCTTCAATTATCACTTCATCATCGCGACCGGGAACTCATCATAATGGAGATTATCGAACGTTACACAATCAATATGACAATTTCTACCATGCAGTGTAATAGAAGTAAAAACGACAAAATAACAACAACAAATACGTCTAGTCACATGTGGTTTCATTAGGAAATCAAATGCAATAGTGAAAAATAACATACCTAGAATCTGTATAAAAGAATCGATTTCCTTCAAATTCCCTTTTCATCAAAGCATTTTATTCAGCGTGTTATTTCCTTTTTTTTAAACGAAAAGCTGCAAAATATGCGGAACATTTGGAGGACTCTAAGATGGCGTAACAACGCTCGGTTGCCGGGTGCCATCAACGTATTGACAAATCAACATTTGGTAATTCTAGCCATTCCGAAACTGGACACCGTCATTGCAAAAATAACAAGTATCACTTACCTCCCTCGGGCACACAATTTCTGGAAAGAGATATTTTTTCTAATGAAATGGCCAGTTTCAAAATCACCAAAACAAGAAACAAAAGCCAAACAAATTTTAAAAGTAAATACACTGCATCTATGTTATTCTTACCGTTTTTATCATATCCATGGCCTGTTACAGAACACCATCACTAATTTGACGCCTTCAATTTTACATAAATACAACTGCGGCGTTGTAAAATAAAAATCTTGAAAGGATCTACCTAAAGGCCATGCACTCACCCGATATACATAACAGGATATGACAAAAGACCCGCCATATTTAAATTAACACGATCTCCACCAATAGCAACATCGTAAATAGACCATAGACAAAAAACCAAAGATAACTGGTTTGTGTGCTGTCAGAAATGGAGGATGTGACGTTTATATATAGACACGTTCAAAAACATTTAAATTCTTATCTCTCTCATCACTCCAAAACTAATTCATAAAATGAATAGTTGATTTGCACGTTGGAGTTGAGTACTTATTCGTAAAAATTCTAATCCTTAAGGATGGGGAATTGTGAAATACATAGCAGGTCCTGTGGCCTATGCTCAGGAGTGGGCATCGTACGGCTGAGCTGACAAGCTAGCTCTACAGCACAACTTCAAAATATTAAATAGTAATACCATATGGATTTTATGTACATGGCGTTAACTGTCCATTTTGCATTGCTAAATGCAGCAGAAAGGATAAGACGGGCACTGTGAGAAACCAACTATAGAAGTTATTTGTCTCGTTCTTCCATCAGTCAAAAAATACGATGCTAATTAAGTGCCCAATAAATTATGTTATGTCATACCATTGTGAAGCGAAGGGAGTAGAATGGGGTTTATGATTGGTAGACTCAATAGAATAACTCGCCAAAACTAAGCTTGAAATGGAAATAGAATGGAATGGAAGTTTAAGGTAAAAATAAAAACCGGTCAAGTGCGAGTCGGGTTCGCGCACGAATGGATGGACGAACAAGAAATCGTGAAAGGAATAATTATTTGTTTGTTTTCATCACAACTTACAAAGTAAATTTAGAATCGGCATTATCAGTATTTGTTGTTTTATTACAGCATATTCCCTTATACCAAAATTTTAGATCCTGAACTATTTTCGATTTTGAGATAGACCGTGTAACAGAAATGGTCTAAAATTTACATCTTTGACGGTACCGTCAAATGGAGGACTCCATTTCTCTGTTTTTTTTTATAGCGAGGTAGGCAAATGAGGTGGGGACCTGATGTTAAGTGGTAATAGAGTCCAAACGCGAAGATAACTGGTACAGCAGTTATAAACTGCTACACCAAGCATCCTCACCTTGCCAGCCTGCAAAAATGCTTCATCACGCCTCTCTTAAAGGACCCCAGATTATAGGAAGGAGGGAACATGTGCGCGGCTAAGGAATCCTACTGTCGAATAGTACGACAAAGAAATGAGTCACCAAACTTCTTCTCATTTTCTTAAGTTGGTGGCAACGTAGGCCAGCGCGCGTGGTCCTCCAAAGAAAAGGTGATGGAGGGATAAGAGAGAATAACTCCTCAGAACACTCGCCGTGGTATAGCAGGTAGAATACAGGGCCGGATTTAGAGGACCACAGGCCTCGGGGCAACAGAGGAGCGGAGGCCCCCTCACCCCAAATTATTTTCCAAATAAAGTAAAATTTTTTTTTCAGTCGAGTTTTTCAATAAATAATTTATTGTGAACCAAGTTGTAGATTCCCATTATTGAACAAACACATATAAATATAAACGGAAACAAGAATTATCTGAAATTAAATCTTAAAGTTGAACCGAAAAGATGTTTACTAGTGTTTACTACTTAGTTGGAATTTGAAAGATTTTTTTTTCCGAAGTCTCTATTGTGGGGCCCCCCGTTTGTGGAGGCCCCGGGGCTTTCGCCCCGGTTGCCCTCCCCTAAATCCGGCAGTGTGCATTTAATGATGCCTCATCGCGGCGTAAATGTAGAGACTCGAGTTTCTTAGTTACCTCTTCATCGCCAATGATGCGGGCAGCGCGCCGCTGCAACCTATCCAAGGCATCGAGTAAGTACTTAGCGGAGCCATCCCAGAGGTGCAAGCAATATTCCACACAGGACCGTATTGCTTGTTGTACAAAACGCAAGTGCCGTATTGTACAACAAGCACAGTTGATCGGGCGTGAAAAAACGCCGCACCTTGTTCAGGACTCCGAGTTTGCGTGATGCTGTTTTGATCACGGTTTCGATGTAGTCCTTTGGATTCAGGTCTGAGTGAACTTCCATACCGAGCATGATGATGTTACTCGGTAGCACCAGTGTTGTACCCTGAAGAGAGGGAAGGAAATGTTTTTGCCGTGAAAGCGCAAGCCTGAGTTTTCTTGGCATTGAACTCAACCAAGTTCCTGGTACCCCATTCGGAAATGTGGTCCGAAGCCTGATTAAATTCAACGACGAGATTCTCCCGCTTCTCCTTGGTTTCTTCCTGTCCAGCCGCTGCGTGTCCAAAGTATCTTGCATGTACTGTACTATTATCTGCATCATCATCATCATCATCAACCCATGTTCGTCCACTGCTGGACATAGGTCTCCCCTAATGCACGCCACTCCTCCCGATTTTGTGCTACTCTCATCCAGCCCACTCCAGCCAGCCTACGAATATCATCATCCCATCTTGTCTCTGGGCGTCCACTACGTTTACCGAGATTTTTACTATTGTCTGCATAGCAAAGAATATTCACAAGTGGAGTCAATTCATTGAAATGCAGCAGAAAGAGTGTGGGAGATAGAACGGAGCCCTGAGAACAGCAGCATTCACTGAAAATAAAAAATCATGAAAATAATAATTTATATCCTACTCAACTAGCTCTACACAATCAATTGTTACATGCTGAGGTAAAAAATACAATAAAATCATCTTGTTTCTTATGTAAATATTGGCTTTGGGCAAGCATCCTACATAAAATACCAAAATTTCAGTTCTGTAACTCATTCCATTTATGATCTTGTGATCCGTTACACACGGACAGAAAAAAAGACAGACAAACGATAGAGTGGCAGCAATAGCGTTCCGTTTTTACCCTTTGGTACTGAAACATGCAACTGTTTTGAATATCACCTTTAGATACTTGGCCCCAAGCGCACTTCTTGGGTGACATCTCTTTAGTTTTTAAAGCTAGAAGAGGAAATGATTGTTATGACGAAGTATATTGTGCTCTCTCTGAAGTGCTTCATTGGTTTACGGTAGGTAAATAATTTAAAACTAAACTCCAGTAAATCAAAATGTGTTAAGTTTACTCTACCTAATGAGAGGCAGGTTAATACTAGTTAAAAAATAAATGACCACCCTGTAGAGTTAGAGGATTCTACAAAGTTTCTGGGTATTACTTTAGACTCGCATCTGCAATAGGATCCTCATATTGATGCCTTATCAAGTAGACTGAGCTCTGCAGCTATCGCTGTTAAAAAAATAAGACTCTTAACTGATGTGGAAACGGCAAGATTGGTTTACTTTGGTTACTTTCATAATATTATGTCATATGGCCTTTTGTTGTGGGGATCAGTTGCTAATATCAAAAGTATTTTCATACTGCAAAAGAAAGCTGTTCGTGCCATATACAACTTAAAGGTAAGAGAATCTCTTAGAGAAGTTTTAAGAAATTAATATTTTAACACTGGCATCGCAACACAACATAAAAACATGATATATGTAAGAAGAAACTATGACGCATTTGCAAAAAAAGTAAAACCCATAACTTTAACACGAGATTTAAGAACATGCTTGCCGTTCCAGACTCCAAATATCAAGAGGTTCATTTCTGGGTTGTAGTATTACATTGTTCGATAAAGTTCCCCAAGATCTGATTGAGCTTCCACTGACCAAATTTAAATCTCAGATCAATAATACTCTTATGACTAAGGGCTATTAAAGAGTTGATGATTATCTAAATGATCGTCATGTATACATACTTAGTGTTAATTAATGGGTATTAGTCATTTTTCGTAACAGTAATGGTACCTATCTAATGCCGCTTCTTATATACTAAAATTATTAATTTTATTGTAACTATATAGGTATCTTTATTCTAAATGATGTAATGGAAGGTGACTTTTTTTTATTCATCGATTTACCAACATTTTATACACCAAAAATAGTAACGCAAACATTTTGAGTTGTTTAAAGTTCAAGTGTAACAAATACTCATAGGTAAATACATCATGCAATTATACGAAATACAATCTAAAAAACAGCTTAATGTTAATCCAAACACTACTATATCTTTAGGTACTGTTTTGTGACAAATACATAAATAAACAAGACTGAAGCTTGTCAGGTGAGTGTCAGAAAATATCAAGCTGAACATTTTTTTTGTGTATTTATTTACCAGTTTGCATAGTCTTGGGAGTTGGATCCGAATACCGTTCTGCTAAGAAGTGCTTTGAGATGATCTATCCTACTTCGGGGGTATCTTGCAGGAACATAGAAATTGATTTTATCCAGAATTTGAGGGCAATAAATTTAGTTATTAAGTATTTTAAACAAAAATGATAAATCACTGATAATTCTCCGTTCTTCTAATGTGTTAATTTTGAAATGTTTCAACTGTTTTTCATAAGATGGTAATACTTTCTTAGAGATAACCTCAGTGTATCTAAGGTGTCTCATAAACCTTCTTTCGATTCGTTCCAATTGAAGGGAATGTGTAGCAAAATGTGGCCTCCATACGACGCTACAGTACTTTAAAATACTACGCACTAAAGTGTTAAACAAGAGTTTCTTAGTCCTAAATTTACGTAAGCCTTTAGCATTTCTAAGCATAAGGTACAAAAATAAATCAAATAATCAATTTTTTGTCAAATATCACACCCAAGTCAGGGACACGGTCCAATTCTCCGATCTCAGTTGAACCAATACGATATTGATATGTTACCAAAATCTCTTTCCCCTGTAACGCAAGTAATAGCATTTTTTAGAATTGAGACTCATTCCATTTCGTGCGCACCACCTACCAAATTCGTCAAGATCAGACTGAAGCCTGTGAGAATCCTCAATTGTATTGATTTCTTTTCCTATTTTGAGGTCATCCGCAAACATGTAAAGTTTGGAAAACTTAATGATATTAATTAGATCGTTTACTAAGATATTAAACAAGAATGGACCCAGATGCGAGCCCTGGGGCACTCCAGATGTGATTTTGTGATGACACCCGATTAAAAGCTTTACTGAAATCCGTATATACAACGTCCATTTAATTTTGAGCATCAAGCGTTTCTATCAAACTTTCAGTGAGGTCTATCAAGTTAGTGTTAGTTGACCTAA